CGCCGCAAGTGGCGGCTTCGCCGGCACGTGCGTCGCACGTGCACAGCGGTTGCCGCGCACACGTGCGCCGCACGCGTCATGCGTGCGCGTGTGGCGTGGCTGACATCACACTGACGTCAGCCACGCCTGTTATATATATTTTTTTGGGCCGAAAGGCCCGGCCCGGCCCGGTTGGCCGGAAATGATCGGTTTGGTCCGATCCGACCCGGATGCTGACCCGTGACCCAACCTTGCTGACCCGTTGACCTGACCCGGTCATTCGTTGACCTGCGTTGACCACCGTTGACCGGTGTTGACCACCGAAAAAAAAAAAAATTCTGTCTGGTGGAATAGTATCGTGGGAGCTCTAACTGGAGCGTTCTTGGCAACGATATGTGCATACTGGAATGTCTATTGTGATGTTCAATGGATTATGTGTTAATCCTTTAATTGTTCTGCATTTGTTGCAGGAACAAAGGCGCGCCATTGACACACATCGATAGTCGTGAGGATGGATGAACAAATGAATACACTCGCGAAGTTGAAGCTGATTTAGCTGCCTATCGGTGGGATGGATGCCACATGGAAATGCACATCATGAAGGTTAACAAGATGATGCGGGCTATCATCTCGAATGGATACCATATGTTGGATTCAGAAAAGATGGATGCCCTAAGAACCACTCTTCCATATGAGTGGAAAATGCTGATTGATGATTTGTGGAAGGGTCCGGAGATAATATTTTATGAGGATGGTGGATGGGATGACGGGGGTGATCCATGGATTCCAGAATACAAAAAGTTTGCTATGGATTTTCTTAAGGAATTCATAAGGATTGGAGCGAAAAAGACATCGACCCTTGGGATGAATTCATCCTGGCGCAGAATGAATGCGCCATGGGGAAAACCCAAGGGATTTCCGACAGTCTTTTCATGGCTGCCCGATAAGACCATCGATCTTTCAAAGGGTTTTGACAATGAGGAATTTCTTAAGTCTTTTCCCAGTTCTTAAGAAAATTAGGAATAGTTGACTTTATTTCATCTTAGTTTGGTTTTAGATATCCTAGGTGGATATTACTGTTCATGTTGATGTTGATATTTTTTTTAATATGCTGGATTGGTTCCTTATGTAAATTTTTTTTTAATGAATAGATTTTGATGGATATTTTCTATTATGAATAGTTTATGGTACTATTTTATTATAATATCTGTCTTATTGAAATCATGTGGTTGAGTGGGAGTTCTAAAAGTTTTAGTAACTTTAAAGAACGCAATTTTACCTTAATGATTTTATTAACGATAATTTCACATTAGGATTTTAGATGATGATTGGGAACATAGTGAACTTTCGAATCTAAAAACTATGTGAAATTACTCATTAATATAATCAGTTTGTGTAAAACTGATGCATAAATGAGTGGCATTAATAATTTGTGCTTGTCTGTCTGATATGTTCATATTCAAACTAGTACATCCGTGACAAATTTACCCTCCGTTAATTTCCGTAAAATTTTACTGTCAAATTGTTTAGTTAAATGACACGTGATAGTTGACGGATGTACCAGTTTGGGGTTTTACCCTCCGTTTGTCACATGTGTACTAATTTGTATTTTTTTTTGTATTAATCTAATGGGAAAAAACCACCAAAAACCCCAAACTTTGCCATCTGTGACACATTTACCCCGAACTTTTTTTTGTGACACCAAAAACCCCGAACTTTGCTTTTTGTGACACATTTACCCCAATGTATTTAGTCCATGGGCATTTTCGTCTTTTCTGCTTTTTCTTTTTTTTTTTTTTTTTTTTTTCCTTTCCGGCGAGGGGACCTCGCCGCGTCGGCCTCGCCGGATCCGGCGAGGGGCCTCGCCGGCGTCGAGCGAGGGCGGCCCTCGCCCGGATCCGGCGAGGCCCCCTCGCCGGCGTCGGGCGAGGTTCGCCCTCGCCGGGCGAGCGAGGGCGGCCCTCGCCCGACTCGGGCGAGGTCGACCCTCGCCGACGTCGGGCGAGGTCGACCTCGCTGAGTCGGGCGAGGCCGCCCTCGCTCGCCCGAGCGAGGCGGACCTCGCCGGCGTCGGCGAGGTTCGGCCTCGCTCGAGTCGGGCGAGGCCGCCCTCGCTCGCCCGGGCGAGGCGGACCTCGCCGGCGTCGGCGAGGTTCGGCCTCGCACAGGCGAGCGAGGGCGTCCCTCGCCCGACTCGGCGAGGTCGACCCTCGCCCGACGCCGGCGAGGTCGACCTCGCCCAACGCCGGCGAGGGCCGCCCTCGCTGGGCGAGCGAGGGCCGCCCTCGCCCGATCTGGCGAGGTCGACCCTCGCCGGCGTCGGCGAGGTCGACCTCGCTGAGTCGGGCGAGGGCCGCCCTCGCTCGCCCGGGCGAGGGCGACCCTCGCCGGCGTCGGGCGAGGTCCGCCCTCGCTGGGCGAGCGAGGCGTCCTCGCCCGACTCGGGCGAGGTCGACCCTCGCCGGCGTCGGGCGAGGGTCGACCTCGCTGAGTCGGGCGAGGACGCCCTCGCTCGCCCGGGCGAGGCCGAACCTCGCTCGACGCGGCGAGGCGAACCTCGCCCGGCGCCGGCGAGGGCCGCCCTCGCCGGATCCGCGAGGGCCCCCTCGCCGGATCCGGCGACGCCGGCGCCGGCGAGGCCCCCCCTCGCCGGAAAGGAAAAAAAAAAGAAAAAAAAAAAGAAAAAGCAGAAAAGACGAAAATGCCCATGGACTAAATACATTGGGGTAAATGTGTCACAAAAAGCAAAGTTCAGGGTTTTTGGTGTCACAAAAAAAAGTTCGGGGTAAATGTGTCACAGATGGCAAAGTTTGGGGTTTTTGGTGGTTTTTTCCCTAATCTAATTTAATGAAGAATAAATTTGTAAATTTTTCACATGTATACCAGTTTAGGATTTTTGGTGGTCAAAAAGCTAGTTTAATATAAATTTATCACAAATATACCAGTTTGAGATTTTTTGTAATATAAACCTAAAAATAAAAGAGGTCAGGCGCCTCCATTCTACTATTCTCCTCAGTGCATTGATGCGCAATGGAGGCACGAACCTGAACCGAGGGGAAAAAGGCCGTCACAATCATCCTAGAGTTCATCGAATAGGGGCTGTTGGGCTTCCACGAGCTAACTGCATGCATCGCGAAGGATTGGGAAACTTGAACATCATGGTCCAAGTCATGCAGCCTTCTAGAAAGCCTCTCCTTCTCTAGCTCCAATTCAGCATTGCTCCTCCTGCCTCGATACGGGGCATCGAGAGCAATCAGCTTACTTGCTAGGCTCTCCCTCGCAAAGACCAGCCTAGCGTGTGCTTTCTCAGGCAGTCCAAAAATTTTACGATGGCCCTTGAGGACCATACGAGCATGGTAGGCCTGTTCTTTCTTGTCCCAATGGTCTGCTTCAAAGGAATGGAAAGAGTCAATCTTGGCCATGTTAGCCCTGAAGACCACCAGACCATAATCAAACACCACAGTGAGCTCTTCATAGTCCCCCCTGAAACGCATGGTTTTCGGGAAGACCAATCAGCTCGACCTCGACGTCTTACAGCGATATCTCCTCCTCGACATCAAGGGTTAGAGATAATAAAGGGATATTTGAGGGAAAGGAGTTCGAGCAACCTCTTCTAGTTTGATATAAACTCGTCAGTAAAAAGGGGATCGAAGGTAGCAGATTGGGAAGGAGAAGAAGCCGTGAGTGAAAGGTGATCACGTGTCTGGAGAGAAGTTAAGAAGGATTTGTGGTGATGAGGAGAATGCAACTTAGGCTCGTCCGAGGTCGAGTGGCTGGCTTCGGACAAACGAGGAAGACGAAGTCAAACAGAACAATTCGACATCACAAATAAATTTCACGTTAATTTCACGAACGGAGCCTTAATTCAGGACAAGTGTAAATTTTTAAGTGGATGCAAAGCAAAAAAATGCTCACCACATCAACAGCTAATGTGGCGCTTTGAAATCACTTAATATTTTCCCGGCACGAGAACCCATCATTAATTGGGCTTTCCACTTTTAGACGCAAGTTCTCCCTGACATAGCAAGCAACCAATCTTGTGTGCTTCGATTCAAATGTAATAGGCATAATATACTTTCCCCATCATAGGACGCTAACACCTTCTATAATTAACTAGATCAAGACTTTGTACGTAAATCGAATTCGCATCGCAAATTCAGCCTTCGTCTTACAATTAAGACCTGGTTTGCTTGCGATACAACCAACTAGGCTAGTAAATTAACTTTTGACGTGGAAGTTAAGTAGAACGTTACCCAGCAACCGATGCCTGCCTGGTGTAGACGATGCTCGAGGACTCTACATTCACGTTCTGCGTCGTTCGTCGTCATCCATTTAGGCTAGTGAAATCATTGAAAAGAGGAGTTCTTTTTTGTTTCCCTTTCTGGTAGAAGTGAAAGAGACGTTCAAACCTGGAAATGTCAACAAATCTGGCATATCCTTCCTGCTTACAAAGAAATTTCCGCCATGGCCACTGGCCAAATCATTAAAGCTAGTTCCTCAGAAAAGAAAGATCCTTTGTTGGTTCAGGAACCGAATAACTGAAGGCAAATTTCACTCCAGGCAATTGATATCTCAAGATTTTCCACGACCAGTCTCCTAATTCTCTGTCGCGCTTGTTTTAGTTAACCAGTCATTACATTCGCATGGCGGATAACAAATCCTATCCGTTTAATTAGTTGATTTACATCCAACTACCATGTTAATATTGTTCGTTCAACTTATAAGCTATAACAAGGTCACCAACATCAATGGCAGTCAGAACTCCATCGCGCACTAAAGAAAATTGTGCTGTACCGAACATTGTTAGACTTGGTTGGGGGAATGTAGGACAACCAGCAATCGGCAGTATTCTTTATTTCTTGGAGAAAGGGAACTAATCGAGAATTTGGAGGATAAATTCCTACATTTTTTTTTTGGAAATGCTTATGCCATTTAATTGAATTCAAGTTACTAGTTATCTAAAAGAAGAAAATGAATCAAGTCACGATCAAACGAGCTTCCTGCGTTAGTTCAGAGTAGGGTGGAGACCAAAGAGAGAGACTACTAGACTGCTTATGCATATGTCTTGTCTTTACAAATCCAGAGTATGCTAACTGGAAAGTTGAGAAGAAAGAATAACACGACCTGGGAAAAAAAGGAAACAGAAAGTACAAGCAAATCCTCTCTGACAAAGCAGTCTCATTCTCGGGGAAACTACATGAAAACAGGACAATGCGAGTGTTCCCTATGTCCTGCTCATAGGCGAGAATGGGGGTTTGGACATTTCCTTTTGTCTTTGTAAAGCCAGCAAGGGCCATTGTAGTTGGATAGCTTATCGCATCTGTCGACTACTAGATGACAATCTTCCAAAGCTAATTGAGATAGAGAAGGCAAACTCACTAATGATCTGCAGAATAAAAATTCCATGGTCCTCAACTTCTTCAACTTCAAGAGATTAGGCAACCTTACTAGGGAATTGCACTGGCCAATCCTTATACTTTCCAACGATTCAAGTTTGACGAGACCTTGGATCTCAACTAGCTTCGGGCAGTTCAACAAGCGCAACACTCTGAGCTTCTTCAAGCCCCACAAAGAGGACAACCGCACAAGAAATACGCAGTTCGACAGAATGAGTTCCCTCAGATTCTCCAATTGTCCAAAACTATTGAGTGGAATTTCCATCAGCCATGATTTACATAGCTCTAAACTTGACAAATTTTTCAAGTACGAACTGCACGAGAATTCAGCCAATGAGTTGAAGTTTATAAGCTTCAACATGGACAGCGTGGAAGGAAGCGGCGGAGTGAGGGATTGCAGGTCAAAACAAGACAGAACTAGTTGCTTCAGGCCAGGAAGGGAAGCAAGCTCGGTCGGTGGTGCAATGATGCTCTTATGAACCAGTTTCAGCGTCTCCAGTCTAGACAACCTCCCAACCCACTTAAGGTTTGGAGTTTGGATAGATTTGGCATCCCATGGGTTAGAAAGAGATTCCTCAATGTAGTCGGATACTAATAGATTGACTAAATTGATCAGGTTTGAGAGGTTTGGGACTGTCGTTAGTGAGCGAGACTCGATATAAAGGTTAATCAAACTGGGGGGAAGCTCTGGGACTCGTTTAAGCTCATGGCAACCTTCCAAATGAAGTTCTTGGAGAGGAGAAAGCCGGTTGATTGTTGTTGGCACAGATCGAATGCAAGTGTGAGACAAATTCAGGATTTTTAGTGAGGACAGACTTCCAATTTCACTAGGAATATCTCCCTCCAAATTCACACATTTTTCAGCATGAAATTCTTCAAGCTTCTCCGCCATGCCTATAGTTGATGGAATCTTGCTTATCTCACTATGATCTATCCTTATCACTTTCAACTTCCTTAGGTTTCCAATTGAATCGGGTAATTCTGTTACTTTCGTATATGACAAATCCAACTCAAATAGCGATTCCAATCCCCCAATTGAGTCTGGAAGCTTTCGTAGCACATAACATCGGGACAAGCACAAGCTTTGAAGATCCTTTAGCTCTCCAATTGAGTGAGGAAGTTCGCTAATTCCGACACTTTCCATCTCTAGCCTTGTCAAAGACTGTAGATTACCAATCGAGTGGGGACGATACGAACCAACAGGACCATGTATTGTCCCTCTCACAATTAGCTCTTTCAAAGAATTTAGACAACCTACTTCTTTGGGCAACTCTCTCAGAGCTTTGCAATTATATACTTTCAAGCAACTCAGGCGTGTCAGCTTACCAATTGATTCGTCAGTTTGATCCAAGCTTGGGCAATCTCGAAGAGTCAATCTTTCCAATGTCCTGATGGCAGAGAGATCGGGCAATCTAGTTAAGCGGCTGCATTCTCCAAGTTCCAGAAATTTCAACTCACATGATTTCTGTTGATGACCAGAATATCAGAAGGGGAGTGAGCAATTGCAGGCCTGTTCGATTAAACAATTAAAATAGAAGTAGATGCATGTGTAACTCTTCGTACCGTGAATTGGTGCCATCCAGGCCAATCATCTCCAAGTTCACTACCAGAAAGCTTGAGAACGGCTAGATTTCTTGGAGAGAAATTGGTCGCACTAAAGTCTGCAGGACAATCATGCAAAGATAGCCATCTCAATTCTGGGAGAAGATTACCACAATCTCCAATGATGGTCACCCGCTTAAGACGAAGAAACCTTAGGTTTGGCAGAGAAGCAAGTTCTTGACTTGTGATCTTCTGTACCTCAGGGAATTGTAGCCAAAGTGATGTCACATTTCTCTTTCTCTGGTAATCAATCTAGCAAAGATAGCACGCATCAGTGAATTTTAACATCAAACAGAGAAACTTGTGCATACAGAGAGCAGTAAACTCTTCCTATGACCAGAATTCTGTCAACTTTTTCACGAAGGAAATTGAAGTTTTATTAGATAAATAACTTTACCGGTTCACGAAGTATGCGAAGGCATTCCTCAGGTTCCCACCACCTGCTTTGACTTCCTGGATTCAGATGATTTTCCTCTCGAACAATTTCCATTCCAAAATCTCTGATCACATCATGCATCCTGAAAATATTGTGATGGTCTATCTTCAACAGAGACATATCAGCGAGAGTGGCAAGTCCGCTTTCAGGGAAATAACCAAAATCTTTCCACACATATATTGCGGATGTGCTCTCTAACCCGTTGAAAAAGCATGCAATGTCTAAGAAAATTTGCTTCTCCTCAATGCTTAATGCCTCATAACTTATCCTTAACGTATCTTGGACTCTCCTATCAGGTACTTTCCTCAAACGCTCCAATGTTTCTGTCCATATCTTGAGGCTTTTGCTGCGGAGGAATGACCCTGAAGCTTCAAGAGCCAAAGGAATTCCTCCGGTAGTGGCCACAATATCACTGGAAAGAGTTTCGAGATCATCTGGAGGTAGGGTTTCTCCGAAGGCATGCTTTTATGAAAAGTTGAAGAGCATGGCAAGGATTCATTGGCATCATCTCATAAGCATAATACCCTTTAGGAGGAAATGGGACGTTAATATGTTGTCCTATGTCTCCAGCTGGCGAAACACCCACATTCCTAGTTGTGACAATAATCCTACTTCCAGGGCCAAGCCAGTCACTGATCCCCGTCAATTCCGTGAGCTGCTCTCTATTATCCACATCGTCAAGAATAATGAGGACCCTCTTGTTGCGAAATCTCTCTCGTATCATGTGGACACCATCGTCGACGTCATGGACATCTATGGACCTCTTCAGGATATCGGATAACAGCTGGTTCTGCAACTTTACGATGCCACCTATTTGTGAAGTTCCTGCGATGTCTGAAAGGAAGCTACAACCATCAAACAGAGGAGCGATCTCGTTGAAAACCACCTTGGCAAGAGTTGTCTTGCCGATTCCTCCCATCCCGTGCACAAGAAGAAATCGTACGCCCAGGGAGCCGCAGTCCAACAACTGCATCACGTCTTTGACTCGATCATCAATTCCAACTAAATGATCAGGTAGAACCTTTTGTCTCTTCTTCAGTTTAATAAAAACGTCTCGAACAAAATCTTTAATAAGTTTACCAAGCCTGCCATGCATAATAAATCATCATCCTCTAAGAAAAGAGGAGCAACTATATCAGCAATATACCAGCATATCTAGGAATCCTATAGAACATATTTTCAATCCTTCTTTGGCTGGAAACTCTCCCTACAGCATTTTTCTCTCTCTCACACAGGTATTGATGATGGTGATCCAACAAAGAATTTCTAACAAGATAAACCATTCAACTGAAGGTGTCGCAATTCATTAACCACCTCCCAAGTGATTTTGTCTTGTTTATACTTTATAGTTAGCAAAGTGGATCATTTGGCTCGATAAATACTTCTGTTTTTTTGAATCTCAGAAATAGCACAAAACAGCAACACAGACTGAGACTAGCTCAAAGTTCATTTCTAACACAGCACATTCGTCCAAGACACCGAAGAAGCTTTAAAATGTATTCTACCAAACACCTTTGGATATCATTTCCACCGACCACGCTATGGAACCTAACTTTGCCAGTTAAAATTACCCCATCTAAGCATATTTCGGATTGTAATGGGTTGTAATGGCCATTGAAGTTTCTTCGTTTACTTACGGTGCGTTTCATGCGTCCCATCCTTTGAGATCTGCGACCTCCATTAGAGCCTCCCTCTACTCTCGCACCGTCTCCTCGCCGTAACGCCCCTCGTGCCAAAGCAGGTCCTCGCCGTACGAACCCCTCTTGAGCCTGACGTTCGAAGGACTCACGCCGTAGAATACAGGCACGATTTCGTGCCCCGCGGATTCCCTCTGGCGCCTCACCATGCGTGCGAACTCCTGTAGGCACCACGCGCTGGATGCGTAGCCTTCCGAGAAGATGGGCACGTGGATCCTCGAGTCGTCGATCGCGCGCTCGAGCTCCGGCCCGATATTCCCGCCTTTGCGAAGCTCTTCATTGTCTCTGAAGACGCTAATTCCGGCGTCGACTAAGCTTTCGTAGATGACATCCGCAACCGTGCGACGAGTGTCGGGCCCTCGGAAGCTCAAGAACACGTCGTACTTGTAGCCCGACGTAGACGCAACGTGCGCAGAAATCGTCGCCATCCGTGTCTGCGATCGCCTTGGGTTAGACCGTAACGTTTTCCTAATGTGGGTTACATTAATTGAGATTGTTATTACCCGCTTACGGGTTTGGTCTAATAAGTTTGGATATAAGGTTTCTTAATTGGTCAGATATGGGCCCGGCTTGTGTGGGCCGAGTTCGGCCCGGCTCAGCCCGTTATGAGAGGGCATGGCTGGAAACTCTATAAATAGAGCTGCAGGTCCCTCCTCTGCACCAACTCTCTCCAATCTCTCTCAAACGCTTTCAAACTCACCTAAGGCTGGCTGAGGCGGTCTCATAGCGCCGGGACTTCGGGGGTGACAGGGGAGAAGACCTACGGCACCGGTTCATCGTCATTTCCGCATCCAGGCCGATGGAATCCAAATCAGGTGCACAAATTCTATACATTCTTTTACCGTACCGTTAATATCTCGCTATGGTGATCCTAAGGCGCTCGGCCGAGCCATACGGGCCGGCTAACATGTGGTATCAGAGCCGCCATAGTCGAGAAACGGGCTGGTACTGTTCGTGTGTGATTTTATTTTTTTCATCCGTTGAATGTTAGAATAAATCACATAGATGGATAGATCGTCGCGAGACGAGTAAAATGAGTGGTCGCCGGCCACCAGGGGCCGCCGGAAACGGCCGCACGCGCCGCCACGCGCCGACGAGAATATTCCATTTAGTGATAATAAGTTTTGACAAGGAAGGGAAATATTGCAGATATCAAAGTTGTTCATTGACTCCTTGATTTATCCTAAGAAATTCAATTTCAATCGAAATTACGGTGGAATGTCTGGTTTTTCATAGGAAATTAAGTAGGATTTCGTCAATCCAACAAGTCAACAAGTCTAGATTTGATTTTCCACTTTTGTTCTCATGGAAGGATTCGATGTAATATGCCTTTAGATTTTCCTAGACTTGACCTTTACAAGTCCTGCCCAAGTTGCATTTGCTTTCCTTTTGTTTTTTTTTTATTTGCATAAGTGCTGCCGCCTTTATTATTCTCGATAGGGAAAATGCCATGAAAAATCCTAAAATTATGCTCAATGCGACACCATTTTGCCAACCCTTTTTTTGTGTCATCAGAACCTGTACCGATGCGGCAATCTTATCACATAAAACCACGCTTGCAATATGAAAACACGTGCAAATGCTAATTCTGCCGTGGGAACTAATCCTAAACGACCTATTCCGATTGCGTCGACATTTATTCTGTTCATTTTCCTTCTCTCATTTGCATCACTCAACAAGTGCTGCTTTTTTTCCAAGATGTTTATGAATTGCTGCCTTGATTACCTCCGGATCCACGTCTCCTTTGACCTCCACCAACTGCTCGTCTATGTTCATGTCCACGAGTTCCACTCCTGCTCATTCAAATAACCTTTCTTCATCATTGCAATCCGCTGGGTGTTAATGAAACACGCCCAGAATGAAAGGAATCATCAAGTAATTACTCGGTTAGCGGGCGAGTCTATTCGAATGGCGCGTGGCATCGGGTTCGGTCCAGTTATGATAAACACGTAGTAAGTATGGTTACCTTCCATCTTGTCCAGTATCTTCGTGAGCTTTCGCTGACACCCGTGACAGCAACCGATATTCACTCGAAAAACGAGCTGAAAACATCGACACCGTTTGATTAAGAAAAGATTATTCTATTCATATAAAGCTTACATCGGAAGTTGCAAATGAAAGTATTACCGAAGACATTGGAATTGGGTGCAGAGCCTTGTAAAATCTTTAGGTAAGGAAGTGGAGCTCAAAGAGAGATTGGCTTTATATATACATCATTTAGTAATGGAAATGAGCCTTGAGAAGGAAAGATAATCTTGCAGATGTAAAATTTTTCGCTGGTTCCAACTAAATTCCTTCCATTTATTTAAAACGTTTCATTTCAATTGGAATTTCGGTGTATTACATGGTAAATGAAGTAAAGACTTCATCAATTCAACCAGTCTGCGAATCTGGATTTGACTTTCCATTGTCTTTCTTAAGGATCTCGATGTAATGCCTAATTTTCCTAGACTTAGATCTACTCCGTACGGACCGAATTCGTGCATGCGTATCCCGAATTTCAATATTACCTTATATTTTAAGACATGGTTTCACCGATAATTAGGGAATGATCTTAGTAATAAATCAACCAAAATCGTTTTCCATCGAATGGAAGTTTCCTCCAATCATGGCAGGTTATTTTTCTTCTTATATTTTTTTTGCATTTTGTTGCCCGAGTTGCATATTCTTTCCTTTTTTGTACTTGCGCTGGTATTTTTCGGGATAAGTGCACTACAAGTCCTAAAACTTGTCACAAAAATGCATTTGAGTCCTAAAACTTGCAAAAAGTTCATTTGAGTCCTAAAACTTGTCAAAATGGTTCATTTGAGTCCTAAAGTTAATACCGTTAGATTTACTAACGGAAAACGCTGACGTGGCGCTGACGTGTCATTTTTAATTATTTTTCTTGAGACACGTGGCGCCACGTCAGCAAAAATAAAAATAAAAATAGAAAAAGCTGTAAAAAAACAAAAAAAAGGAAAAAAAAAAAAAAAAAAGTGGCCGCCAAGCTTGGCCACCGCCGGTTTTGTTTGGTTTTTGGTGTTATTCATCCTTCTTGATAACAGTAAGCATAGATTCGATTTTTAGTGTTATTCATCCTTCTTGATAACATGGCACAAACACATGAATTGTCAAAATCATGTAATAAGGATCTCTGAATAAATTCTTAATACAAGTAGCATTACTTACGTCATCAGACCCATTTTGTAATCTCCATTCGACTTTCACCAACTAAACTATATTCCACTCGACACCATGGGTTAATTGACAGTGGTTAGTGAATGTTGTGATGTACGGTTTGGGCAATAAATGAAATACTTGTCGGAATCATAATTAGAGAAACAAAACATTATCTATTATAGGCTCTCTTTATTTAGTGAAAAAAAAGAATGATTTGAAAAAAAATTTCCTAAAATAATCACTCGTATCGCTTATAAAATTGAACAAACGAAAAAAAATTCATTATATACAAAAATATTTAAACATAAAAATAATTAATATTTTTCATTTTAATTATTTAAAGTAACTAATTTTAAAAAATATTTTTTAAATTATTTTTTTTTCCCAAAACGTCGTAAAACTCTCCGTTCTTCACGTTGTCAGCCGTGAAATTCTCGCGATTTAACGCCGGCCGTCGGATCAAAAGCTCTTGTCCGTCCGTGTACAAGCCCAGTCACAGTCACCCTCTAGACCGAGACGCTGTTCTGTCCATTTCTCTGTCAGCAAGGACAGAAGAAAGCAGCAGAGTTTTCATACCTGCACTGCAGTTCCAACTTCCGAGGAAGCTTCTCGCTATCTCTCTATTGCAGCAGCAGAAGAAGAAGAAGAAGAAGGGAGCCATGTCAGAGACTCAGTGCTGTCAGAACCCTCCGACGCTGAGCTCCACAAGCGTCGGAATCGGATGTGTCGCGGAGATCGGCGGCTTGAAAGCTTACATCACCGGCCCCCCTGATTCCAACCTCGCCGTCCTCCTCGTCTCCGACGTTTTCGGTACGATTTACTTTCACGGTTTCTCTCTCTGCGCAAGTTTTTCTCTCCATTTCCGAATCACCCTTTGTCTTTGTGGTTGTTCCAGTTCTATCTTAGGTAAAAATCTGGTTTTTTTTTTTTGGGAGGGGGGGGGGGGGGGTGGAGGGCTGGGAAGAGCATTCCTTTTCCGGACTCGATTGCGTCAAGCAGAATCTACTATCTGGGACTTCTTTTGGGTCTCGGTACCGTCATGCCTTTGCATAAAGCTTGTTAATTTGTTGCGAGAAAACTTGAGCTGAGCATGTGTTGCAGAAACCCACATTTCTCGTGTCTTTGGGCAATGAGCGGGGTGAGTGGAGAAGATATGGAAGAAAGGACGATTATTTCATCCTTTGTCCTCGCTCTACTCTGTGAATATTCTCTACTCTGGCCAGACAAGCTCACGCATGTTCCGCTTGTAGTGGAGTTTGAGGTTGTATTTCTCTGGCTTGATTCTGATATAACTCAATCTATGTTTACTTTTGTGCAGGTTATGAAGCACCAAAGCTGAGGTAAGCTGTCATCCAATCCCATCCCACTGGCTGGAATTAGAGAACAATCCCTCTCCATAACTCCAATTGGTCAGCTTAGTCTTGAGTCTTGACTAGTATGTTTGTTCTTGTCCGTGTTTGCACTTAGATAATTGGTGCCGATCTCTCTGGGTAATTTCTCTGCACGTTAGATGATGATGATATCTAAAGGGGGTGCCAGTGTTTCATGAAATTGCATCGCCTGAGATGCTTTTACGCGAGATGTTATGATCCTTTTCGAGTTCGGAGTTTGTCCTGACAATATAATTTCGCCTTTTAGCTTATACTTCTTTTAGATGCCTCCTATTGCTTATGTGCAGTTTTCTGGATTTTCTCATTGATAGATGTGCGTCATCACTGGATTCTGTGCTGTGGTGGCATTTTCTTTATCAAAAATAGCATTTTAATCTGCATTTGTTAGCTTTTCAAATTTTGCAAGTGACAGCATATTGAGTGTTATTTTGCTGCATGTAGCGGTGCTCAACATGCTAATGATTCTTTACATACTATAAAAACTTAACCGTGTATTCTTGTGATTTCAAGGAAGCTTGCAGACAAGGTGGCCTCTTATGGATTCTATGTGGTGGTTCCAGACTTCTTTTATGGAGATCCCTATGTACCTGACAATCCTGAGAGGCCTATTGCAGTCTGGAGACAATCTCATGGAACTGTATGCTTTAATTTTCAGTTCAAGTCCCTATCTGTTTAAGGGACTTCTTATACCTCATGAGACATTTATGTTTTCCATTGAGTGTTTTTCCTACTTATAAATTAGTGGTTTTCTTGGGTTTCACTTTTCTTGATCTACATATGGATTCTACTAATATTCTTTCTTCTGGAAGAGAGCTGACCCTGAGAGTTCTGCTAAGGAAGTATCTTTGTCATATTTTTTGCTGTTCTTGTATAGGATAAAGGATCTGAAGATGCTATAAGAGTTGTTTCTGCACTGAGAAATGAAGGTGTATCTGCCATTGGAGCTGCAGGATTTTGCTGGGGTGGTGAGTCTTCTTGTTGCCTTGTTCCACAATTTTTATCCTGATATAGTCCTCAAAGTATTCTGGATAAAACTCTTAACTTTGATGTTTGATTATCAGCAAAGGTGGTTGTGGAACTAGGGAAGTCTGATCACGTTCAAGCCGCGGTGCTGCTACACCCTTCACGAGTCACAGTGGATGATATTAAGGGTAGGTAAAGCTGAGCAAAGAAGCAGAATCCACATTTTCGGTGAATTAGCCTAAAGTAGTCCATGCATTCCTGCTCTTGGGTGCTCTCTTGGATGAAACAAAGATGTGTCTATTGTTAAACAAATTAGATTGGGCTGACATGTGTGATCTTATCCTATTGATTTACATATGGTAATCTCGGACATAATTGTTCAGAAACAAAGATGTCTCTGTTGTTAATAGAACTAGATTGGCCTGACATGTGTGATCTTATCCTATTTATTTACATATGGTAATCTCAGACATAATTGTTCAGGTGACTAGTTGAGAGCACTCGTTTTGTGTCTGAAGAACTGAAGCTTATGGAGAAGTAGATAGTAGGTTTACCTAGAGGCCAGAGAATCTTAAGATGGGGAAACAACTTTCCGCCGTCATTTTTACAATAACTAACTTTCAGCAGTTATCTCATAAAAGGTCTTGATTTTATTATGTAAGTGCATGTAGTTATGAACTTTGGTCTCAAAAGTTTGGCAGTGAAATTGACATTATGTTTTGCTTTACATTGACCAAGGGAACGAGCTAATACTTCGTTGCTTGTATAGTAAGTGTTAGCATTCTTCATTCAATTATAAAATGTACTGCAAGGGTCTCCAGTTATTGCCATGGACAAGCTCATGTGACAGATTTATAATGATGCTGCATATGGGAATCAGAGAATGAGCAATTTCACATGATCGCTTAGAACTTATGTAATTGATGATCTAACACTGTTATTTTCAGAGGTCAAGGCTCCCATAGCTGTATTGGGCGCTGAGTACGACAAAATGTCTCCACCAGAGCTTCTCAAGCAGTTCGAGGAAATCTTATCCGCTAAACCCGAAGTAAACATCTCCATCTCTGCTGTTAATGCATGTGTTTGCACTCCAAGTACTATCTCTTATGCTTTGACCTTTGAGATCACTTCCTTGATCTCATATGCTTTTAGTGCCCTTCACGAAATGGAGTTTAGCAGTAAAAGTACACTCACGTGAACTGGGAAATTGCTCTCTACGGATCATAAATGGACATGACTCTGAGGCTGGAGGATTGTTACCTTCTGCAGGTTGATGCGTATGTGAAGATTTTTGCTGGGGTTGAGCATGGTTGGACTGTGAGGTATAAAGAGGAAGATGAAGCAGTGGTGAAGTCCGCTGAAGAAGCCCATAAGGACATGCTGGACTGGCTCACTAAGCACTTGAAGTGAAGATGAACTTGGTCACCTTCTGCTGCGTCTCCATATCCAAGGAAGAGAATGACAAAGCATGATCGTTCCTAGCAGTAGCGGCCTATCATCTGATGGAGTCGACGCTGATTAGGAAACGTATTCCTTATGCAGATGTAATTTAGCTTAAATATAACAGAGCTTGGCCTGTCGTGTCTAGAGATAAATGGAAGAGCTTTTTGGGTTCTTTGAGTTAGCGTGGGGGCATTGCCCGCTCTCTTGTACATAGCATGTAGTGCCTGGGTCAACTAAAACCTGGATATTTTCCTTGCATAGGGTATCCGTGAGCCTATTAATTTACAGGTTGCGGTAATACTTGCTCGATGCCGATAAGCACGCAAAGATTACCAACATGCTCGAAACTGCGTTGTTGGTCCAACCACACACCGCGAGGTTTAAAGTATCTAGGTTGACTCACCTTTAAGATAATTCACTGAAGAATTTTTATGACGAGAAGCGTTTTTCAAGTTTAAAGTATCTAGGTTGACTCGCCTTTAAGATAATTCACTGAAGAATTTGTATGACGAGAAGCGTTTTTCAAGTGAAGCAAACGCATACAATCATGTTCGCTAGCCAGATAGGGAAATTCACAGACGGAATCTTGATAAAATGTCCAGGATTGACCATGATGCAAAAATTTTCACCTTGAATCTCAATGTTGTTTGTCCTGCAGATGTTGAACTTGCCCACGAGACTTTCCTTGCATTATGTAGGAAAATTAGAAACGCAGGTGTTGTCCAAGGTACAACCAAATACTCTGATTCCCTTGGACCACAAAAAGAACGTAGTTTGACCAACACTTTCCACCGGTCAGTACACCATAATAGGCTGAGTAAGAGCCTAGAGAAACTTCCCCAGTAAAGTAGAATATGGGGAGCATGAAAACATAATAAGGAGAAAACAATAGAGCTAACACAATTTGACAAGTGATTTAATAGTTTTAACTCATCCGACTACAGCTATGCAGCGAGCCGTTCAGTACGAAATGATAAGAAAGCTGTGTCCCTCTCACCATTTTGCTGCCTCTCGAAAAGTCTAGATGAATGTGGCTAGCCAATTTTCTCAGTAATATCGGTCCATCATAGAGCTGCCACGGAATATCAATTAAAAGCATTCAAGTTGGGCTGTGAATCCATATCAGGTATATATGGTCAGATATCCATCACGATTTGCAAGGCGTAAAAGGCTAAACGGACACGAGGCCATTAACGAGCAGGTCTCATATCATCCAACCTGTAAACAAAATTATAACCACTGAACAGTGAAATCAAATGAGCATTCAGCAACCATTGTTATGCCCTTGGCAGCACACTCAACGCATTTAGGACATCGACAAGTTCCTTTTCCTTTTTTTCAGAACATAGGACATAAGACTAGATCAAATTTTCAAGTTAGCAATCACCTCAGGCAAAAAACAGTTTCCCAAGTGACTAAGAGAGCTAAATTTCAGGATATCATAGCACAAATGCTAATGAACCCACTATGTCAAGGTTCCAATATCAGCCAACATAAATTGGTCCCTCGACAATACAAATACAGTTCATGCATCTCATTGGAAACTTCAACCACCCCTAGCTTCTCTTCTTGTGGCATCGTGAAGCAATTCAATATCAACTCCATCAGGAGGTAGCTGAACATACCTCACCACTGATCCTCTGATAAAGCAGTTCCTGACCGACAGCTACAAAAGACATAAAAAAACTATATTAATCCTTCACATGCGAGAACTGTTTAACGCATAGAAGCAACAACCTCCAAAATCCCTTGAAGAAAACTTAATCTCCAGATTCTAAAGCATCCAAATTAATTCACTCGACCAAAATTCCAACGAACAAATTAGCTCACAGTCAAACTAAGACAGAAAGGCACCATATCTCTTGTCCTGAAAACTGACATACCATTTGCCAAAAGAATTAAGGTACCACGGTAAGAGTAGCCTTTAGCTTTGCATCCATCAACCAGATGTATAATATCTCAAAACAGCATTACATATATCAACCCGACATCCAACTTATATAATCTATCAGCGCGTTACATGTCAAAGAGTCAATACCAATAAAAAGGTCATCGAACTAGGGTTCCAGATTGAAGCGACAATTTCCTCATTATTAGGGAGCAACTTATTGCACACAATTCCATAAACACGCCCCGACTAAAACACGAACACATTCTCATTTTCCTCCAAAATCGCACATTCTATTCACTCCAAAACAAGTGGAGAATCACACACCACACACAGAAGTAAACCAATCCAGCGAACGCCGCACATATCCCCTCTCATAACCACAGTTTCCCCAACACAATCCCGGACGTCCTGATTTCTGAAAGGAAGACCAAGAGAGATAACCCGAGGAACCGCAATAACAGCCACAGCATTCCTAAAAAACCTAGCCTCCCCGATGTTCCAAACCGGACTACGACAGATCGAACGACCGCAGTCAACCACCACGGACGGAACGGATCAAGCACCTCACGAGACAAAAAGACGCTAAAAGCACCACAAAAAAGCAGGTAGCAGAAAGAATCGAGGGAGGGGAGGCGGGGAGGGGGGGACGGCGCACCATGTGAGGGTACTTGTCCTGATCGACAACCCTAGTGTTCTCGAGCTTGATGTTGAGGTACTGATCCACGGAGTGGAGGGTGCCCCTGATGGCCAGGTCATTCTTCAGCTCCACCGTCACTTCCCTGCCCACCAAGTCCTTGAAGTAGGAGAAGAACAACTGAAAAACACACAGACACGCGCGCGCACGGCATCATCGCAAAACCTCTCACCGCAACACCCTAAAAGCTCCAAAAAAAAAAAAATGACAAGAAACACCCCTTCGATTCGGAACGAGCAACGGAGAATCGCGAGCAGGCGAAAACCCTAAGGCAACCGCACATCAGAGAAGAAGAGGCTTGAAGAGAGAAGAAGAAGTAGTACCATTGATGCGCCTGCAAACTCGCCGAACGAACGACTCCAAGAGAGAGAGAGAAAGAGGAGAGAGAGAAGTTGTTTGTGTGAAGTGTGGGCGGGTGCGAAATATCGATTTTATTAGACCGCCAAATTACGTTTCTATCCCTTGAAGTTCATCTGCCTTTTTATGTTTTTAACCTTTCCATGGTTAATCTATCCTATCATTCATAATCAGATTACTAGTTTCTTATCATCGTCCATGGATTTGGTGGTTTTCTTGGTTGATTTAGCTATTAATTTATCATCAAAGGCAAAAGGCAAAAACTTTCGATTGCCAAAGCCAATTCCGATTTACAGAGGAAAAACACTACCGTCATGTGTTTGTGCATGGTAGGTGTTTGCTTTGGGCACCCAAAAGTGCCTTCGTATGGAGCCGATGCAATGCGCCTATATGACCGAAACGACCAGACTTAAGCCTAAGGGGACTCAGACCATAAACAGGATTAATTCGACCCAGCCATCCGTAGACAGAATGCATCTGGTCTCGATGCCGCAATCGAAGGCTCATTTCTTCGCGTCGCAAGCATCTCGTACTTACAAGATGAGCGCGTCGCGCCACACTTCTCACTGCGCTCATTTGTGATAACAACGCGGGGTCTGTCCTCGTGTTGGATGGACCGACCGAATGGACATTTCTGGGACTCCTTAAGCATCCAAATATCCATCAAAAACCAATGACGGTAACTGCAAGCACGGTGGATTTAGACAAGCAGGGGGAGTCAAATAAACTGTTCCTGGCCGTAAGATTCAAACGGCGCAAGGCTCTCGAGCCACCCCATCATCACTTAATATAGGCAGGCCTTGAAAAATAGCAAGTTATTAAATCCATACACAACCTTTACGTGCACATGCCTGTGAGAGAGAGAGAGATCGCATCGCCTAGCTTTGGGTGTCGAGTAACCGACTCTCGAGCATCTTTAACAGTTATATAAATTTGGTCGATGAGAACATAATATTAGAATGACAAATCAAGAAGCAGCTACAAAAGTTTTGCTTCACATTACAAACCAATCAGGACAAAAGAAGAAAAAAGATTTACATCTCATGCAAGTCAAATGCCAGAAGCTAAGGACTGGAAAATAGTTTTTTTTGCTCCTACATTATGGTTTTTCAATTCTCTTATCGTTCCCTCTTCTGGGCTACAATTGATGTTTAGCAGAAAAAAACTTTCCACAATGTCATATCCTTTGCTTCACCCTTCTCCCATTGGCATCGCTGCCGTCGAGAATGCCTTCATTTCCGTGACTGGAGACAATCATTGATTGCTCGCTCGCTCTTGCCACATACTCCAAGAGTTCGGTCAAGACTGAGGGACAGCTCTCCTTCAAGTACTCGAAACCGTCCGTTTGCATCACAGCTGAGAAACAGATTGGACAACCTCCCGTCAATCACATAGCCATTCAAATCAAACAATCAACTAAAAGGCGAAAAAAGCCACAAGTTAATCAGAGATTAAAATGGTTTTGCGAGAAACAAATCGAACCTAAAAGCTAGATCAATTTTCCTTTTTATTAGCCCTTCTGAAGGGCTTGCGGTTCATTCTTACATCAACAAAAGGCCTTTAGGGAACTATTGAAGCTATTGAAAGATTACCAACTACTGATGCTAATGAAGGTTACAGGCTTTCTGCTAGACACGAAGACAACAAATACAGTTATATAGTGTACCTAGAGCGAAGCATTCCCCAACTTTGATAGGTATAGCATTGCAAGCAAATAGAACAAAGAGCTCGCCTTTTGTTTCTATTAGAGCTCGCCTTTTGTTTCTATTAGATTCGTGAGCTTGTTAAGTAGTGGGAACAAAGTACCCAACCCAATGGCCAGGTTCTTTCAGCAAAATCAGTAAGGAAAAAAGACCGCATATTTCAAATTATGTTGCTTGACCATAAAAGACGAGCAAATCGAACTCCGAAAAATTGTTCTTCCATGGTGACCCAGCTACCCTACATTCTTCTCACTAATTTTAAACAGTGCTTACTACACAGAGGATCGTACCAATTATGTTTAATCCGCACCAGAAAAGTCAAATAGAAACCTAATCAATCCTTACAGGAAAGAGTATTAGGTGCTTCTGGGGTCACTTTTTCCCTCTCACAGGTGGTATTTTGTACCCTACTAATAAGAGACATATTTATGGTCAGGGACATGATTGTAAGAGCATTTCTCATCCTCCACGCAAACTTTTAAACCAACCATTTCAGGAAATCTATGACCAAGTTTTATATCACAGTTTATCCTAATAACAATCCCCTATTGACCGTTTGCCTATCCAACTTTTGCCAGCCAACTTTAAGTCATCCAGAAGAATGAAGGTGCGGTAAAATCATCATCCAATTAAACCGCATGAAACGGTAAATTTCAGAAAGGATATCTACAACGAACTTCCACAGAACACATGCTAGGGAACATCAATCGATTCGTTTACAAAAGAAGAGACAAAGAATATCCAAAGTATGCTGCATACTTTGTCGCAAGAGAAACCATCATCTGCATCGACTTATGATAAAAAGTCATAGGGGACTATAGAAATAGTTAGAAGAAAAAAACTTACCCCTCAGATTTTCAGGCATTGCCACAAATCTGAGACACACGGCTTTCAATTGAAAACAGTGGTGCTGCTCTGCCAATGCCAAGGTAGTTGCTACGGTATTTATGGCAACATCCTGACAAAGATTGGCCTCACATAGCAGCCTCAGTCTATCAAGGCCATACCTATCTGCTGCTGCAAGTAAATGCTGAGACATCAAAGTTGATGCCCACTTTGAATCCAGACCAGTAAGCTCTTGAAGATCAGGCAGAGAATCAAAGTATATAAAATGAAGCAATGCCTGCAAATTATACAGTTCAGTTATCAAGACTTTTGCCAATGGAGAACCAGTTCATGTAACCAATAGATAAACTTTAGTGATACAGTCAAGCACTTCAAAGAGATAATCACTAAGCAACACAACCCTCCAGCTCCAGGTTAGTCCGGCAAAACAATAAAAAAATTGAGATAACACACAGATCTCATGCTAATGCTACAATTATGAAGTTCAGACTTTTAACAGCATCAGTTCTAACTTGTTTTAGCCTGAAGTTTTCTAATTAAAAAAATCTAAGTAACTGGCCCATATCCAAGGGGCATTCACAGAAAATATGGTCAATTTGTCATGACATCTTCACAAGAAAATTTTTTCAAAATCGGCGGACATGCATTTTTCCCCATCATTTTGATAGTTGTAATCGGCTAAAATCATAGCAAATTGAACGGCAATGATGATAATCACGGAACTGAGGTGGTTGCAATGGTGGTGCCCCCGTAGCATATGGCAGCTGCTGCTGCTACCAGCCAATTGATAATAATAGTGGAAGTATGTACAATGTTATGGTGGCAATAACCACTTACAAGTGCCAAGCTAGCAGCTGACTAAATATCAATGGTGACTGTCCATGTCAATAGTAACGGTTGCTTCCATAGTAATTCAGAACATGTACAAGGACAAAAGGAAAGAAAGACAAACAAACAAAAAGAAAGAGAAAAAAAAATCTAGTACATCAGAATTGTACAAGGACAAAATGAACGAAACAAACAAACAAAACAGATAAAAATCACATGACTACATGGGATCAGAACAAGGTTACCAAAGCCTATCCATTGTGGAAGTAAGCAAAGATTCTGAACCCTCAAACAATCTTAGTATCCATATGGAGGACAATTAAAAGAGGTTCAGATCAAGCTGAAGCCAATGCTGTCAAGCTAAGAAAATTCCTAAAAATATTCATCCCGAAGGAAAGGCTTTCGGTTTTCAGATTATGCAATCTTCATATTCGGATGGCAAAAGTCGCATTTTCCTTTAATAATTCCTCACTTTGCCGAATATCATTCTTCTTCATAGAGACTAAGAAAAAGATGATCGACATCAGATCTCCAAAATGTGCTACAGTGCAACTAATATAAAGCCAAAGAACATCAGTAGTATACACAGTGGCAACACCAAGGAGAACTGAAAAACAACTAACCTAGAAATCATTAATAAAAGAAAAGATCAATTCTTACATAATTCTCATGGAGCATAAAAGACTTACAATAGCAATTGGGTTGATACACAGTAGTGATATAAGCCCTATGCTATCACCACATCAAAATTAGATTTTTTTCTACTAGCATAGGAATGAATTTAGACCATAAAAGAAACTTTCCTTTAAAGGACAAAGACAAACTTAATTGTAGCAGATCAAATCATGAACCATGTAGACAATGGGCGAATTTTTTTACCACATAAAATGACTTCCCTCAAGCGTACTTTATTTGGCCATTTATCAATTTACAATCACTTAAAGCAAGACTACCCGGGTTCTCCAAGCAATTTTTGTATTATATCCATCGCATGAGAAAAGGGAAGTCCTAAGATACACAATTTCCCATGATGAAGTATTTGATACATCTAAACTTAAAGAATATAGGGACTGAGTAGCGTCCAGACATGGAGGAAGTAAGTTAAGAGACCACAAAGACCACACAAGAGGAAAGGGGGAAGGGGAAGGGGGGTGTTGCTCGTGTTGCCCATCAATGAGAAAGCAAAACCTTCAAGGACACTGTATACCTCAGAATATTTCCTTGACTTAATATATCTGAAAAAGACCACACAGTACATTTCACCGTTCACTCAGTAAAAATAACCACCATATTCATTATTTAACTCTTGTAAAGCCTTTTCTGAAAAAGAAATAGCCACTTTTGATTGCTAAATCTTTACCCAATAGCACTTAAAGACTTTAGCCACCTATATTAATATCACTAAGCTTGACCAACAAAGACAACACACAAATAATTCCTAAGTTTGACAAAAATTAGCTGACATCACTGAATAGATGTGATGATGCTATATGTGAGGGGAAAACTGGAGTAGACTCAACCTAGGACATTATCCAATTAACAATGAATAAGCAGAATCTAGATGCGCAAAGCAGATAAACAAACTCAAACAAATTCCATGACAAAGAAGACAGATGAAGGGGGCAACGTTAGACCTTGAAAACTGATGGCTCCATGTCTTCAACTCTTATAAGCTTCGTATTCTGATCTTTCATCGGACCATAAAGTTGGGCCCTGAATACAGGGGATCGAGCAGCAAGTACCAGCTTGTGAGCAGCAAAAACTTCACCATCTACTTCAAAACTTACATCAGCTCCTTTCCCACTGTCCAAAAGCTTGCCAAAATCTTGACCTATACTAGAAGGAGGTACAGGTATGGAGAAAATCTTCGGTCCTTCTGTATGTGATCTAACAACGCCAACAATACAATGTACTGAAAGAGTATCATCTTTGAGGTAGTCTGATGTCTCGAGAACACTTCGCTTGAAAAATCTTTTGTAGCCCCTACAGCAATTAGTGAAGATAGGTCATCAAACACTAGATACTTAGACTTACCAAATATTAGATGAAAGATAACACAAATGAAATTTGAGAAACAAAAAATTGCATCCACTGAACAAACAATATCATTTTGAAAGTGTTATGTCAAACCTAACAAGTATGGCAACTAGGTGATCTATCATTGAAAAATCACAATCAATGACCCTGATTTCCCATTTGACAGCCTCATGGCAAACCTATTCAACAATCAGATACAGCTGGTTGAAGTATTATATAAATCGCAACAAATTCAGGAATCGGGTCTTTACTTGCATCTCTATATCAATCCAGTTGCCCCCAAAAAGCACCAAATTAACACTATGAACTTGCAGTGTTATGTGGCGGTAAAGAGATACAAAAGTTTACTACCTTAAATTTACTAGGGAGATGAAAAATGAGAGTCTACACAGCCAGCAAAATGAAATGCCAACGCCACATGTTTAGAGGATACATGCTTCATAAGGGCCTAGCAGATATCAAATGGGACACGTAGAATAGACTATCAGAAAACTTTAATAGACTATCGAACAATTTCAACGGTTCCAGCAACTATTTGAATCAATGAGCCCACCCGAAAATTCACAACTCACCTCGGCTATGCATCTAATCGTCCCACCAAGTAAACTTCTTCACAGGCGCAAGCTTACCTCAATAGAGTGATTGTCAATAACTGTCCAACACTCTTGCAACAAAAAATAACAACTTATCCTAACACATACAGCAAGCTGTACGCAGTCCATAGGTAATATGTTTGTACCAGTACCAACTTCAACCGTTCAAGCTCTCTAGAAGCTCCAAATCCAGTTAACCAATAGCTTCATCTTTCTATTCCACCATACATGTGTTTTTACATCAAAATACCAGCTCGCATCATATGTACTCCTAAAAGCTTCTTGTGTGACACAAATTTGGACTGTCATTAGAAATCACCAATCTGCCAGTCCAACAATTATTTTCTGAAAGGACTAGCAAGAGATGACGTTCCGGCAAAAGGCCCCAATCATGGAATAAAGCTCAACAGGCAGCCTAAAAGGTCAAGCTCGCAAAGACCTCTGACCCTTAATGAAGTAACTATCCCGGCAGTACACTAAATACCTACTCTTCCAACAGTACACTACACGAGATTCTCGTCACTCATGTCATACATCAATTGCTAACATTCCTAAGAAAAATTCTGATTGTTGTAAAAACAGAGTAAATCAACTATAAATAAGAATTCCAGACGCATCCATAAATATAATGCAATATGTAATGAACGCGACTGAATAATTTAGCAGCTGAACAAACACAAACAGAACATGCTGGAAAAACCCATGTATAAGAGACAAGCCTACATAAAACCCTCAATCATGCCCCCGAAAACGACCAAACCACCGGATTCTCACACAATATAACAAAATTGCAAATCCAGGCAAAAGGGTTTCGAATGAGAACAAAGAGACCAAAATCCGAAAAGCACGCACCACATGCTACCGCGGTATTTAAGAGTGTAAGGCCCGCTCTCGAGCGTCCGCCCAAAATGGCTGTGCACTTTGTGCCTCTCCTTCCCGCTCTGATCCAACAGCGTCAACTCGAAGAGCGCCCTCACGTCGGATCCCTCGCTCGCCAGCGCGATGAACAAGGACACGTACGCCGCATTGTCCTCGACGCTCTTCCCGTCCGGGTAGAAATAGATCGCCCACTGGTAACCCCCTACGGTGAACGTGTCGGACGCCTTGTACTTGCCGATCCCGATCCCCTTCGACAGCGAGTACCCGTTGATCTGGAAGTGGTGGGAGCCATTGATGGTGTCGGTGATCGACGTCGATGAGGACGAGGAGGAGGGAGAAGACGAAGAGGCCTTCGCGGTGTCGTCCGGGACCTTACCCATGCAAAGGAATTCCCACGAACCGAGGCTCGGATGCCGCGGACCCCAAGCGACGGACCCTCTGTCGGAGAAATGGGGAATCCGGTCGGGGAGCCCCAGTTCCGGCGCGATTCGAAGTGGGGCGGGGGAATGGGATCGGCGGGGAGGGGATTCGCCGGCGGGGAGGGAGGATTTCGCCGGCGAGGAAATCTAGGGTTTGGGGATTTGGAGGAGGGGAATTTTGCGATTTCGGGGGGGGTAGGGGATTTGGGTAGGGTTTCGTCTGATTGCGAGAGAGAAAATGGAGGTGATGAAACGACTCTGCGTTGGATGACGTGGTTCGGGGGGGCGTCGTTTATTTATATTGTGAAGTCTTTTGTGGCATGTGGTAGAGAAAGGAGCACTTGAGGTACGACGACTTAAAGAGGAAAAAGGGAAAATGGTCACTCCAAGAGAAAAATTATACGTGGCCCAAATGACTTTACTATATATATATATTACATGGCATAAGAAAATATGTCGTGGAGACCTTTTGCTTTCTTTTGGGGACTTTTTTACTGCAACCAAGGACACCAAATTTGATGGTTCAGCTCTAAAATGATATGTTGATACATAGATTCGCTGCAACATAAAATCAATCCTGGCACGTGATTATTACGATGGCACGAGGATAAACGGGATTCATAGTCGTTTCCTATTACAAATTTCATTACTCATATATGCATTTGGTATAAATTTGGGCGTATGTACATTGAATCTTGGTAAAGAGTGCTTGAAAGTGGCAAAATGTTTCATGAAAAGTAACCCGGAATCTCTACTTGGACGGATTGAAGAGATAGCAACAACGTCCTGTGGGTTGAGGGCCTTATGAAATTAGAGCATCTCCTTGTACAAAGTAACCCCTCAAGTCAACACATCGTTTCCTCACTGCATTTTCGAGCATAGAATCGTTGTTTTTCTAAGTATAATGATAACTAGGATAAAATTTGTCAAGGTTCCCTCCACAAGATTCTTCAGCAAATCAAGGATTGTGGAAGTGGTAACTGTGATGAAATTATAAGCATGCGCGCCTTTTTGTGAATTCATCCTATTTTCTTCTTTAGATGTTTAATTTTTTGAGATTAGATCGAGCTCTTGTTCCTTTCGATTTGGATGCGGAGAGGATGAGACCCTCGTCGGGCGGCCATCGCCACAATGGCCGCTACAGCAAGGGTCGCCGTCATTGCTGTACCAAGACCTAGCCGACCCTCACCCACATGCTCTCTCTATCTCACTACTAGTGGGCTGCAACTGTGGCGGTGTCGACGGTGGCCGTGACTATCTTCCTAATTCCGACATCACTTATTGAGACTCTCGTCGTGCCTGGACAAAGCCATCGCTACAGCAGCCGCCTTAGCTTTTGCCCTTCCCCTTCATCTTCATTTGAATGTAAACCTTTCAATTTTTGTTTTAGTTTCTTCTTTTTGAATTTTCTTTAAAAATTATTTTTTTAGGCTTTTAATAGCCACGTAAAATCCACACGTAACGTCAACATGGCACTTAGCACAAATTTACCAATCACGTCAGCATTTCTTTTCTTTTTTGAAATAAGTATGCCAGAAGTACTAAAACTTATCACAAAAGTGCAATTGAGTCTTAAAATTTGCAAAAAGTGTAATAAAGTCCTAAAACATATCAAATTGGTGCAATCGAGTCCTTCCATTAATTCAGTCTAACTTAGCTGATAAAAATACCTACATTGGTAATGACGTGACTAAAATGACGTTGTTTTAGTTGAAAACTGATTTTTAATACAAATTTTATTTTTATTAAATAAAAAGACTACTTTTTTTTTTTATAAAAGGGTGAGAATGCAGCTTTCGCCGCCTTCACCCCACCATGCACCGAGAAAGGGCTAGTTAGGGTGGGGAATGGTCGACGACCTTTGTCGACTATAGGCAAGGGCCTGCGGGTCTGCCAGTGGCAATCGTGGCCATAGCTCGGAGACCCCGCTGGCTCATCCTGACGATTGTGGGGCAACAACCCTTGCCGCCTCACCCAAGTGGACTCGTAAGCTCTCACTTGCGGTCAAGGTGGGTCACCAGCCACTAGCCGGGGCCCAAAAACCCACACCAACCATCCCCCACCCTCGATGGCCCTTCCCGGCGATGGTGGGTTGACAACCCTCGCCGTCTCTCTCTCTCTCTCTCTCTCTCTCTCTCTCTCTCTCATTTAGCTTATTTTTTTTTAATTTTGTACGAAAAATTAGATTTAGACCAAAATGACGTCGTTTTAGCCTATGTTTCGTGTTTTATTAAAGTTGGACGAAATTAACGGAATGGCTCAATTGCACCAATTTGACAAGTTACAGGACTTGATTGCATTTTTTGTAGGTTTTAGGACTCAATTACATTTTTGTGATAAGTTTTAGAACTTTCGATGCACTTGTTCATTTCATTTTTAACGGAAGGACAACTCAAGCCAAAAACATATGGCTTAGGTACCCAATTTGCCAAAAGAAAATATTGAAGGATTAAGAATTAGGGACCTCTGGCCTTTATCCTAAAACTTTACCATGAAAAAGTAGGGGTTATTAAAAGAACGATCTTGATATTATTTTGCAGATCTCTGTCCTTGAAAAAGATTTCGACGTTTTTTTGGTGATAATTTAATGGCCAAATGCAAACAAAAAGAATCGTCAATTTATATATGGAAAATAAAAATACCCTCGCTTTTCAAAAAAACAAAAAATTCCACCCGTTAACTTTTCTGTCAAAGTAAATCTAAGCAGGAGATGATATGGCAAACGGTAATTACAAATACAAACGACGCTTTAGCTGAGCAAAGTTAGAATGGTGATGTATACACCACAACGTGTGCCGAAGGAGCAAAGCTGAAGGGTAACTTGGATTCGTGACAAAACGACATCTCTTTGTATACGTTGCCATGACATGATTGACATGTCATCTGCACGCGTGATCGCCATTTACCATGTCGGCTTTGACATAAGCTTGACTGGACAAAAAAAGTTTGGCTTATAAATGAATTTAAAATAGTAAAATTTAAAATAATACGGGTGTTAAATAGGTTTCCAATTTATTTAAATCCAACACACCTTTATGACTTTCGCCCTCACTTAATCTTAAGCTCGCTTACTCCGCACTCTCACCTCAATTTAAGTATAAATATGGAGGTGTTTTAGTAATATGGTTTGAGTCAATATGTGTTTAATATGGGTCGGGTCAGATCGGATATGAGTCATTATATTGCATTGCATAGAAATGAGTTAAAATTGATTAAATGGTTCAATTTGAATCGGACAATTTTCAACCCGATCCGATCCACCCGTTTGATGGATCTATTAAATGCGTTAGGTTCTGCTTGACGACTCGTTGCCTTCATGGCAATCATGTAGTTGATTTGCTGCGGTGATGTAGACCGACAAAGTTACTTGTGATATGTGTTTGTCGTAACGAGCGAATAAGAGTGAGTAATCATAATCTCTCTTGTTTGTGTTGAAGTTCATTTTCGAAACATAGATAAGTACTTTTTCGTAACAATATCCATGTTGAAAATACATGCGTGTTATGATTGGTTCTTTGAGTTGTATAGCATCATTATCTTTAAAGCCCCGTCTACTTTATGTGCTTGAATTGGCATAAATAGATTGATTTAATTAAGATCACATACAACATTTTGAATTCATCACACAGTGATGATTTTTCAATATATCAAGTTATATGATCTCAACAACTTGTTCATAGACTTTTCCTTACTTACATGTGTTGCTGTACTTGTAAGGATCACAATTTATAGATAAGTAATAGCGGAATATGAATTGCGTAATGCAAACATTGATTACAATATTCAATCATTGAGAAAATTTTCGTAAATTTGCATTGAAAATGTAAGTTTAAAAATTCGCTATCGTGAGGAGAATCTAGGGGAAATAAGGTGAACAACGTGCAAATAACATTTCTTTAGCACTCCACCATATGATTAGCGCTCACCCAAATTACTTACAATTGGCGGCTAAACTGTCGTGCAAGTGGATAATGGACTATAAGTTTAAAAGAAGACAATCATGAAAACGTTGAAATATAATGGGCATGGAAGAAGCGGCTAGGGCGGAAAAGAAAGAGCCATTTGAGAGGGATAAGGATAGTTTTGTCTTTTAATAAAATTGAAAGCGAACAGCAAAAAGAGGAGAAAAAAATGTAAGAAATAATCTGAAATCAAGAATGAGCCAAATATTTGATATTAATCTTGATTCCGTGGGTAATTTTTGTAATTAAAAACATTTGAGTGAACACGCAAAATATAATAATGCGTTAATTTTAAGATGGCAATAGCGATTAGTGCAAGCCATTGTTTTAAGGGAAAATGCCACAAAAAATCTCAAATTATGTCACTTGTGACAAATTTACCCTGAACTTTTTTTATGACATGAAAAACCCAAACTATGCCACTTGTGACACATTTACCCCACAATACTTTGATCCATGGGCATTTTCGTCTTTTTTCGTTTTTTTTTCCTTTCTTCTCCGGCGGAAGGAAGCCAGTGAGGGCAGTCCTCGCGGGCGGTGGGTGGGGCGAGGGTGACCCTCGCCGGCGTCGGGCGAGGTGGCCCTCGCCAGATCCGGCGTCGAGCGGCGAGGGCAGCCCTCGCCCGACGCCAGCGAGGGTTGCCCTCGCCAGAGTTGGACGAGGGTCGCCCTCGCCCGACGCCGGTGAGGGTCGCCCTCGCCCAACCCACCACCGGCGAGGACCACCCTTGCCGGCTTCCCTCCGCCGGAAAAAAAAGAAAAAAAAAGAAAAAGGAAAAAGACGAAAATGTCTATGGGTCAAAGTATTGCGGGGTAAATATATCACAAATGGCATAATTTGAGGTTTTTCGTATCATAAAAAAAAGTTTAGGGTAAATTTGTCACAAGTGGCATAGTTTGAAATTTTTCGTGTCACAAAAAAAAGTTCATGATAAATATATCACAAGTGGCATAGTTTAGGATTTTTGATGGCATTTGCTCATGTTTTAATTATATAACACACACTGCACTCTGATTAGCTAATCAAGGGACGGCACTTCCTCTCCGGCCGGGCCCCACGGAGGCAAGAGATCACGTCCGCAGATCAGCCGCGCCCCCCGAAGTTGATCAACGGCGGAAGGCGGGATCATACGCGAACCAAAAACAACAAGCGAAGCGCCACGGGATCCGACCCTCTTTCCAGAAGATTCCAAGAGGGGATCGACACTCCACCCTCTTTGTCGTGTCCAGCGGCCAACCTGGAATACCGATGCTCCATCACAAACAAAAATAATAATAATAAAAAATTCTAATTTTTTCAACTCGCAAATCGCGATCAGACAATTTCCGCAATTTCTTTCATTTTTATTTTTTGTTTTTTTTTTTCCTAAAATTTTGAGGATTTTGGAGAAATCGTGAGGTCTGGTCCGAAGATGGGTAAGTCTGTGGTGCTCCGACGGAAGGAGCCAAAACGGAGGGAGGGATTTGGTTGTCGGAAAACTCCGAATTTCTGAGCCGAATCTCTCTCTCCGTCTCTCCTCCACCTCTCCTCCTCCTCCTCCTTCTCCTTCTTCTGCTCTCTCTATAGTCGGTGCGGCGATGGCCGAGCTCTGCTTCATGGCGTCGCATGGTTATCCTCCGGGGCTCGTTCTTAGTCAGGAACAGGGCGCGAGCCGAGTCATCAAGGCGAGTCTCGACTTTCTCCGGTTTCTCGATTCCCCGCTTGTGGCGGATTCGACTCGAATTGGAACGAATTGGGTTTTTGTGTGTAGGGATTGCTGAAGCGCTTTGAATAGTTTTCGGTCGGTTAATCCTCGCGTTCGCTTTGCATGTCCCACCGTGTTCTTGATTTTGTTCTGCTGTCGTCGGAGCAGCTCCGTGCTTGCTGCTCGGCGTTCGGTCTTAATTGGGTCATGGCGTTTTGGCTTTGTGACTTGTAGTTAGTTGCGGATTTTGTGAGTTTTGATGCTGCGCTGTGCACATTGTTGGCTGGTCCTGATATGTTGCTGAAATCTGGTTCTCTGGGAGATTCATCTATTTAAGATTGTCCAAAAGATAAAATTTTAACAACTCCATCTTGACCTCGATGGCTCGATGCTTAAAGCTCGGGGATTTCAGGTTTAATGAGGGTTGCGAAGTTTGCAATTAAACTGTGCTTTTTCACTGGTGTTTGCACGTTGCAAAGCTTTGTCTTTGCTGATTCTAACCTCCTCAATTGTTAGGTGGATTAGATCTACATGCAGTGATGTTTGCTCATGATTTTCTTTTGTTCTGGTTTTAGATTATCGAAATGGCCAACGTTGGTCAGGTTTCACTTCCTTGTTATTTGCATCCTGCATTCGGGGAATCTAATTATGGAAAGTGCAGGATCTTCAGCCATTTTTGCCTGGTGCTGGGACTAGACAAGACATTATAAGATTGGGATCCATGACCCTCAGTCCTAATCAATTGAAGGAGGCAGTGGAACCCCTAAATGGACTGTTTGCAGCGAAGCAGATTGATTCTGCGGAGAAAGATCCCGTGATTCTAGATTTGCTAGGTATGCACGTAATATGTAGTTGAAGATCATTTAAAAAAAAAAAAAATAATTAACGTTTTATGTCAGCTTGTCCAAAAGGAGAGAGCTTGAAATAAAGTGCTCGCAATCTTTCTGGGTATGATTTATTTCTTCATCTAAACTTGTTGATTACAAACTTCAACTCATTGATTTCATTTGATGAAAATTTCACCCTTCATGCTACAGACGCTATGAAAAATTTTCGGCCACTATTGTTTATCACCCTCACAGTTTTAAAACATCTTACCACAAAGCAACTTAAGAATCTGAATTTGAATTCATTTGCAAGTGCATGACGATAGAAGAAATCATATTATGCCACTTGAATTTGTAGAATCATAAGATTAATGGCAACTGTACTAGCAATTTGGTCATGGCACTTGCATTCTTATGGTCAGAAATTAATGGAAACTGAGTCTCAGCAGCAAATGGGGGATTGCTGTTGGGGCCAGTAGAACTGGCTAAAGTGCTGAACCATCTATATAGGTTTAGGAGATCACTCATATCAAGATATGCTGCTAAAGAGGACGATATAGCTTTTGTAGGATACGTATTGAAGTGCTGTTTGCAGTTTAAATAGGATACTTGTCATGACAGGTGATGGTCAAGTGTAATTTTTATTTATTGTGATTGCAGATGTTCACTCAGCTACTGTGCCCCTAGGCACTGGAATGGCCAAACAATCCACCATGCAGAGAGAAGTATTTGAGTTTAGCATGTCTGGATTGAGTTGTGCAGAAAAGGCTGGACTAGATATGTCTCTACGATCTGATTTAACGGGTCTTCAATCAGTGGAAACTGACATGCATCGCCTGCCCATCATTCCTTCTCTCGTCTACCCTAACTTTCAATTTTCCACTCAGAACACTCTCTCAGATTTCATGGGAGATTTGGTTCGAAATTCAAAAATAACCATTGACTCCGATGGTAGAGTCTTGATCGCTGATAGTGGGACTGAGATGAAGGATCTCCTCTCAATTGTAGCGGAGTTTTACCTATCAAGGAACTTAACTCAAGGGAGAAAGCTTTCGATGCCAGTTCCTTACTTCAGTAGGTATGACAACAACAACCTCTATGCTTAACAACGCTTTAAGAGGAGTTTTCTAAATATTGATATTATTTCCTCTTTCTTTTCTGTCCTTATAAATATGCTTGCATGCCATATGCGATGACTAGAGCTTGAACTGATACAGTGCTCTCTCTCTCTCTCTCTCTCTCTCTCTGTGGATCTTCTTTTTCACTTGAATTCACATTTACCCTCTATCATACAGTACATTTTCTTTATTCTGTTGCTTGAATCATGACAATGCATTGGTATTGGAAGTTTATAGTATGAGTACATATGCATTTATTTGCACGTCAGAGTTGGTGGTCCTTTCCTTTACTATTTGAGGCTATACTAGTGGGCTAATGAATGTTACAACTGGTAAAATTTCCAGAAAAATCTTTGAGAAACCAAGGACCAACATCCATGGGTCTTCCTTGAAGCTTGAAGCTAATGCAGTTGCTCCTGTAAAAAGGTAATTTTGTGCTGTTCTTTTAAGATTTGTAGTTTCTTTACTTTATGATTAAGTCAGAATTAGCAGTGTCATAGATATTTCTTCTGCATCACAGAGTGCAAGGTTTATATGTGTTAGTATAGTCTTTGAATAACTTATATTGATCCACATTTTCTGAGCATTGTTGTGTTGGTCAGATGACCAATGGAAACAATATTTAGTACCACAGAAAGTTTATTTGCCCTTTGTGTTTCTCATTCCTCGTGTTGTTCTTTGAATTGGTGTAGATAGTATGATAATAAGATGCTCACTTTTCCTTGCTCTCTTGTCCACGATGATGGATAGAGTTTTAATGGGGATCGTTCATAGATGTCAAACTATATGTGTGGGAAATCATGTGATTTAGCAAGAGTTGTTGATTTGAGGGATTAATTGGATTGGTTAGCCAGATTTGCTCAGCCTCATTGAGTACAAAATATAAGGTTCTGTCCATTTCCTAGTGCATATTACCATTGGACTACCTATTTTCACTCATCATAGTGGATTCAATTCCTCTTGTATTTGCCAAATGAAAAAAAGAAAAACTGCAAACACTTGCTCCAGATATTTACTTTCAGAAGGAGCAGAAGCGAGATTCGCAGCTGTGTGCATAGCTGGATTAACCAATGTGAATTAGTGTAAGCTTTGTTACCCGAAAACAATTGGTGCTAACCAGACTAGGTGCTATGGCAGTAGCAAGAGAGATCAGGTGGTGACATCTCAGAGGTTGTCACACCAATCTAGCATGTTGATCATCATTGGTTAAGCAGTCTGACACAATCATTGTTTTGAACTCTTTTTGTTGGATCTTGCCTCTCTGATTTGATTGCTGTGCTGCTTTAGTTAGAAAAAAGTCCTCACCAGTAGTTTTATTTATTATTGCATATATGAAAGAGCGTAATCCTTACTGCTTGTTTGAATGTGTTGTCATCTCTCAGTCCTGAAAAGAACAAGCTCAAGCAATTATCAAGGAAAAAGAGCAGCAGAAAAGTGAGTAGAGAGAGAGATCTGTTCAAAAGAAATTACTTCCATGCGTGCGAAAGCCTGCTATCCATCCTGGTGGACAAGAGACGGCAGGGGAAAACTGCAGTTCTTTCACTCAAGAAAGCTGGACCGGAACTTCCTGAGCTCCTGAACCAGTTCTCTGCAGGCATTGCTGGTACGGGCATTGCTGTTCTCTTTTCTATTATCTGTAAGGTGGCCTGTGGACGTGTTCCTTTATGTGCATCCAAACTCCTAAGCACCGGGTTTGGGTTTGGATTGGTTTGGTTGTCCTGTTCGGTGAATAGACTGAGGGACACGGTTGTTTACATCGGCAAAAATACTGGAAAATTGAGCTCGAATGAAGATGAGATGGTGAAGAAAGTAGATAAAAGTGTGCATGAGATTTACTTCAGGGCTGCCACTCTAATGGCTGTGGCTATGCTGAGGTTTGTGTGAGCAATGGGTTTATCACTTCCATGGAGGGAGGGTGGTTTGAGAGCATCTGGGATGCAGTCAAAAGTTGTGATTAGTGATCGAACCTGTAAATGGTGTAATTATCTTGGGTAACCAATACCATAAGTCTGTCTGGAGGGAAGGAATTTTGCTGAATTCTAAGTGATTGGGCTCAAGTGATTACATGGTAGAAAATCCAAAGCAGTCAGTTCCAACATGATCTTGAGCTCGTCGTAAAATGGTGTCGTAACCAAGATGTCATAAATTAGCTTGTGCATTAGCCAAGCTGAGTTTTGCATGGCTAGATACTTTGTGTTTAATATAGTTCTCTGTATGGTAATCTTTTCATTTGATACCAGAGTATATTGGATTTTGTGATTTTCTAATCTAATTCCATCTTGATCTGCTGGGCCACTGTAATAACGGTATTGGTGAATTGGTGATCTTGTTGGCTTGGTAAGCCAACCCGATTTTTTCCCTGCGAACACATGAGTTTTATTCTGTTACGTTACTCTCTTTCTTTCTCTTTTTAATATCTCAATCGATCTCTTTTTCTTCTTTTGAGTCGACTGCACTCGGCAACTTGTTCTTGCTTTTGGGAACCTTGCCTCTCCACTAGCTTGGAGAAGATTCAGGTCTAGTTTTTTTTTTTCTCTATGATTTTCCTCTCTTTCATTCATTTTCTTTCCCCAAAATCCTAGAACGTGAGCCAATTAATTGCTCCAGAAAACAGGATGGGTGGTTGATAGTTTTTTACCGAAGTAAATTAACGGATATCCGTACACACACCATATTTTGTTTATACTTTCTACTTTCTGGTTATTGAATTAGTAAAAGTGTCAATTATATCTAGGGTTAATACCACGAAAAACCCAAAACTGGTACATTTATAATAAATTTATCGCAAATTAATTTTTTGACCATAAAAAATCTCAAATTGGTGCACTTGTGATAAATTTACCCTAAATTAATTTTTTGACCACCAAAAACTTCAAATTAGTACACTAGTGACAAATTTACCTTCCGTTCAATTGTATTAATATCAAGAAAAATCAAAAACTAGTAAATTTGTAATAAATAGATAGTTAAAATCCTAAACTGGCACACTCGTCAACTGTCACATTTTATTTAACTTAGCAATTTAACGGTAAAATTTAACGAAAACTAACGGAGGGTAAATTTATCACAGATGTACCAGTTGGGGGTTTTTCATGGCATTAACCCCTATATCTAAGGTAAAAGAATTTGATTGTCTCTGTTGAACTATCAATTTTCTAGTTTTGGAACACAATTGAATTCGAGTTTTTCTGTTCTGTTTACCTCAAGTATACATTTATCAGTTTGCAATTCATGAAACAGTTTGGTTCAAATGCACGTGTACTAGATAGTACCTAATTTGAGGACCACAAAAAGTAGAAGTTGCCGAAAGGAAAAGAGAGAGAACAGATGCAGGGAAAGAACTGGTTCCAAACTTATTCCTACCTTAGTCGGCTCAGTTTCTAGGCTAGTTCCTATTTCTCGTCTCTCCAGCAATAGCCATTGAAAGAAAACGAACGAGTACACATTGTTGCGCTCACCAGAAAGCAATGCTCTGCTAGTCACACAGAATCTTTCAGGCCCTTGAAATAGCATGAACTTGTACGAGATGCCAAAACAAATGTCCTGTTCTTGCCTATTTTCCTCTCCCAAAAAGCACCCAAAAAAACAACTAGTCAATCACCAGCTAAAAGGGGAAATGAAGATTCTGGAGTGGAGTGTTCCCAGAAAATCCAGCTCTCATCCATCAACAGGGGAAAAGATGGCTCACTTTGTCAAAATTTCAGCAACTTATGCAGAATCCAATTCTCACCCCTCCTTTTCCATATGCTTTTCAGATGCTGCTCATGGTTTTGCCTTTGTTGAAACTGGTGTCACATTGTGTCTCACAGCTCTAAAGCTACTCTAATTCTTCATAATCCCATTGGAGTATTATTCTCCATCGTGACAGTTCTCAAATTTCTTCGTTCCGGAAAATCCACGGTCAGGAAAATCTTGGATTCAATCACGAACCGTTGAATCACTTGGAAAAGATTGATAAAGTCGAACTCTTTAGGAAAACTATCTGGGAATCTCACCTCGTATTCCCTCACGACTTATGCGCAACTTGGGGAAAATGACTTGGCTTTTCACGCAAGGATCATGAGAACTAGTCGATTAAGCAATCCTTGTCCCATTCTTTCTTCCAACCTGTCTCCTATTCCACTCCATTTGTATAAAAACTCGACGGAGTTCGGAGCTTCATGAGTTGCACTTGCTCTTCATCTCGTGATCATTTTCTTCAAAACTCAAAACTACCCTTTCTTTTTTCTCCTGTTTCTGACCGAATATGTACAAGAATGAGAAGTGTGAAAAACGTCCTTCTGAAGTATGTGAGAAGATATCCCACGCTATTCGTCGAATAGCTCGGTGTGGGCAAGCGCCCAATCCTGCACAGTTGGAGGCCGATCCATCCATTAAGGCCCTCGCCATCCAGTCAAAACCAGAAGGTGGTCATCGAACTACCTTGGTTCTTAAAAATGGAGAAGGAAAGTCCTCGACCTTGGATTTGGGAGCTAATAAACCCAAGGAGAGCACTTTGAGTGTTGATCAAGAAAGCAAGAGAAGCGGACATGATATTGACCACAGGTTCTCCGACTACATCAACAGAACATGGCTCAAGATTAGGTCAAAATCAAATGTCGGCAGAGGGAAGAATCATTCGCCTTCGAAAAATACTAGGCACGATCAGTTTGCCGATTATATTACCCGAGCCAAGAAGAAGCTCAGAACAACTTCAAGCATTGGCGGTGGTCGCTCGAAGTGAAGAGTTAAGACCCACCTAATGTTTGAAAGTGAATACTCATCTGAAGTCTCAACTTTTGATGAGAAGAGGTATGATCAGGAATAAAAGTTTCAGTTGAAAAGTTCTGATTCTTGAGTTTGCAAATGGTGGTCCTTGCCTGGATGGCATCTTTGGGGTTATGGAATGCATAAAATGGCTCAAGCTGAGCCTCTTGAATATTTACTTTTGGGATGGGTTTTTGTTTTCATCTTTTCTGTGGGAAATAATTTGTAACTTTTCCAAATATTGTAATGTTGGAAAATAGCAGTGCTATGTTTCTTGGGTTGGTTGAAATCTTGTAATTTCCATTAGTTCATATGCTTGTGTATGATTTCTAAATGGTTGACCTTTTGTTTGTTCTTTTGAGTGTGCTTGACCTATGGATGAAATATATGGTGTGACTCTCGCATTCCAATTCATAAACATCTAGGCCTGTGCATGGGCCTCGTTAAATAGATAAGTCCACTATGTTAGATTACCAGAATGATAGAGAATTCTTTGGATCATGAAACCACGAGTCACAAATTTCATATATTGGGGAATGAGCTTCTTGCTTCTGAGGGTGTTTAAAAATACATTTGAAGAAACAGAGTATAGTTGTTTGAATGTATAAAATAGGGAATAACTACTGTAATTGCCCGTGTTTCGAAGGCGGAATATCTAATTAAAATCTTTCCATGCTCTAGCAAATTCAACTAACAGGAAAATATAGTACTTGGAGATATTGCTGTGAAAATAAGAATGAATTTTTATAATTGAAGAAACAATATAAGTCATTCTGATAGATGGGCCACTGTAATAATGGTATTGGTGAACTGGTGATCGTGTTCGCTTGGAAGGGGCTATTTGGTAACCTGCCAAACAGTACCCGATTCTATTCTTTTATTCTTCGGAACAAAAAAAGAACAGAAATCCGTTTGGTAAATTTTTTATTCCCGGACACAAATTTATTCCCAGAATCAATTTTGGAATAGCATCAATAATAATAAAAAAATTGATTCTTGATTTTGGGAACAAGAATCAGAAATGAAAAAGAATTTTTCTTCTTCTTCTTTTTCTTCTTGGTTGGTCTTCTTCATTTGTCCTAGCGATCGGCCATAGGCCAGGGCCGGCGAGGGCGTCGCAGCCCTCGCCCAAGCCGCAATCGGCCCTCGTCGGCCCTAGCCTGTGGCCGGTCGCCGCTGGCCATGGGCTAAGGAAGGGGAAGAAGAAAAAAAGAAAAGAAAAAAAAGGAAAAATTATTAATAAATTATTAATAAAAAGAAATTTTGTCCGGTTACCAAGGGTCTGTTTAGTAACGTTTCTGTTTCTTTGTTTTTCTGTTCTTTTGTTCCCCGGAACAGAAAAAGAACAGAAATCCGTTTAGTAAAAAAATCTATTTTTTTGTTTCTGGAACAAAAAAGTGTTCCAGAAATAGATTTGGAACAGAAACAAGAAGCAAAAAAAAATCTGCTTCTTGTTTCTGGAATAAGAAAAAAGAAACGATTTTTTTTCTAGAATTCTCCAAAAATAAGAAACAATCCATCGGCCGCAACTCGCCCACCGCCGCCTCTCGCCGTCCTTCGCCGCCACCTACCGCCCGCCTTCCGCCCCCGCCGCCTGCCGGCCAACGCTCGCCGGCCGCCTCCCGCCCGCTGGCCGCCTCTTGTTGTCGACCACTGTTCTCCGCCGCTCGACGCTTGTCGCCACCCGCCACCGGCCGCCGTCCTCCACCGCTGGCCGCCGTGCTCCATCGCTCGATGCTAGCCGCCACTCGGCGCTAGCCGCTTCCCCCCGCCAACCACCCGACGCCGGCAATCACCTACCACCGGTCGTCGTCCTCTGCCGCCGGCGGGCACCCACCACCGGCGGCCATCCTCCGCCGCCAGCCATTGTGCTCCACCGCCCGACGCCGGCCACCACGCGGTGCTGGCTGCCCTCGGCCGCCGGTCACCTCCCGCCTCTGGCCACCCGACACCGGCGGTCACCCACCATCGGCCGCCATCCTTCGCCACCGGCCGTCGTGCTCCATCGACCGACGATGGCCGCCCCCTGCTGCCATCACCGCCGCCCGACGCCACCGTGCTCCGCCGCTGACCGCCGTGCTCCACTGCCTCCCACCGCCGGCTGCCATCCTCTGCCGCCGCCGACCACCATCCTCCGCCCCCCACTGCTACCCGCCGTCCTCCACCGGTAGCCCAGAAGGGAGAAACTCGTCCATGGAATAGAAATGGATTATTCGCGCCCTAAACGCGTTTCTATTCTTTTTCTATTCCAGGAATAGAAATTTTGTGTAGTTACTAAACGCTATTTTTTGCTCAGAAACTGTTCCAAGAAATTGAAATAGAAAAAACTATTTCTGATCAAAAATTGTTTCTGGGAACAGAATCATTGCTATGCAGACCCCAAAGGTTTTTTTATTTTTTTATTTATTTCAGGAATATAAATTTTGGGCAGTTACCAAACGTTTTTAAATACTTAGAAATTGTTTTTAGGAATGAAATAAAAAAAAATTATTTCTGAGCAGAAATTATTTCCGAGAACAGAATGTTACCAAACGGCAAACGCACCCTAAGCCAACCCGATTCTTTCCCTGCGAACACCTGAGTTTTATTCTGTTACGCTACGCTACTGACTTTCTTTCCCTTCGTGAGATCTCTATCGACCTCTTTTCTCCTTTCGAGTCGGCCACGCCCCGCCACTTGTTCTTGCTTTTCGGAACCTTTCCTCTCCACTTGCTTGTAGAAGGTTCAGGTCTATTCTTTTTTTCTCCATGACTTTCCTCTCCTTTATTCATTTTCTTTCCCTGAAATCAAGAACATGATCCAATAAAGAGATTGCTCCAGGAAATGGGAACAAAATAATCAGAACAAAAGATTACCACGAAGGATGGGTGGTTGATAGTCGTCGAACAAAACATTAACATATGCTCTGACAGAAGTTCCTAGTTCAACTTCTGGTTAAATTTTCAATTTTCTGACTATCGAATCGGTAAGAAGTCAATTATATCTAACAGACAAAGGACAAGGAATTTGATTGTCTCTGTCGAACAATCAATAGGCTAGTTTTGGAACAAGATGAAATTCAAGTAGCCTTTAGTCTTTATCTCAACTATACATTTGTCAGTTAGCAGTTCCCGAAATAGTTTGGTTCAAATGCATTTATACTAAGACAGTACTAAATCGAGAACCGCAGAAAGTAGAGGTTGCCAAAAAGAGAAACAGAGAGAACAGATGCAGGAAAGAACTGGTTCCAAACTTCTTCCTTCTTTCATAGGCTAAGTTTCTAGGGTAGTTCCTATTTCTTGCCTATCCAACAATAGCCATTGAAAGAAACTGAATGAGTTCACACTGCTGAAAAAGCAATGCTCTTCCAGCCCCGCAGAATCTTTCAGGCCCTCAAAAAAGCATGAACAAATACAAGATGCCAAAACCAAAGTCCTGTTCATGCTTTTTCTCCTCTCCCAAAAAGCACCCAACAAAGAATTACCATGCAAAAGAGAGAATGATGATTCTTTAGTGGAGTGTCACCAAAACATCCAGCTTCAATCAATCAATAGAAAAAAAAAATTGCTCATTTTGTCAAAATATCAGCAACATGTATGCAGAATCCAATTCTCACCCCTCCGTTTCAAAAGGCTTTTCTGATGCTGCTCCTGATTTTTGCCTTTGTTGAAACTTCTGTCACATTGTGTCGCACAGCTCTAAAGCTACTCTAATTCCGTAATAATCCCATTGGATTATTCTCTATCATGACATTTCTAAGGTTTCTTCGTTCCAGATAATCCACTGACAGCGAAAGCGCGGATTCAATCACGAGTCGTCGAATCACTTGGAAAAGTTAATGAAGCCAAACTCTTCACGAAAACTATATGGGAATCTCACCTCATATTCTCCCGTGACTTATGCACGACTTAAAAAAGAAAAGTTACTTGGTTTTTCGCACAAGGATCATGAGAACTAGTCTATTAAGTAATCCTTATTCCACGCCATCGGCATAAAAACTCGACAGAGTCCAGAGCCTTACGAGCCTTACTTACCCTTCACCTCGTGATCATTTTCTTCAAAACTCAACGCTACCGTTTCTTTTGTTTCCTTCTGTTCCCGACTGAATATGAACCAGAACGAGAACTGTGATCAACGTTGTTCTGAAATATGTGAGAAGATATTCCGTGCTATTCGTCGGATAGCTAGGGGTGGGGAGGCCCCCAATTCTGCACAGTCAGAGGCCGATCCTTCCGTTAAGGTCCCTGGCATCAAGTCAAAAGCAGAAGGCGGTCGTCGAATCACGTTGGTTCTTGAAAACGGTGAAGGAAAGTCCTCGACCTCAAATTTTCCTGACAATCAAGTGGCTATAGTTGCTGCACGAACTGAACCGGTGAAGAACCCGGGCCACCAGGGACCTGGACAATCTGCAACAAGAGCAGACGTTACCGAACCAGGATTGCCGGTTCAGGGTTCAGGGTTGCAGAAAACCCATCCAGGTTCGAATACAGTCGGGAGTGTCCATGAAATTACAATAACGCACAAGAGAGCTAATAAGCCCAAGTTGGAGAGCACTTTGAGTGTCGATCAAGAAAGCAAGAGAAGCGGACATGATATGGACCACAGGTTCACCGACTACATCAACAGAACGTGGCTCAAGATTAGGTCCATGTCAAATCTTGGCGGAGGGAAGGATCATTCGTCCACGACGGATACCGGGCATGCTCATTTTGAGGAATATATTTCCCGAGGCCAGAAGAAGCTCAGAACAACTTCGAGCATCGGTGGAGGTGGTGGTGGGAGGGGTTTTTCCTCTAAGTGAAGAGTTAAGACCCACCTGAAGTCTGAAAGTGAAATGCTCATCTCAAGTCTCAACTTTTGATGAGAAAAGGTATGATCAAGAATAAAACTTTCGGCTCACAAGTTCTGGTTCCTGAGTTTGCAAATGGTGGTCCTTGTCTGAATTGCATCTTTGGGGTTATTGAATTCATGAAATGGCTCAAGCCGAGCCTCTTAAGTAATTACATTCGGGATTAAAACATTGGGTTTTGCTTCTTCTTTTTTTGCTTTTATGTGGATAATGATTTGTAACTTTTCCAAACATTGTGAAGTTGGAAAAGAGCAGTGCTATGTGTCTGGGATTGGTTGAACTCTTGTAATTTCCATTAAGTTCATATGATTGTGTATGATTTCTGAAGGGTTGACCTTCTATTTTTCTTTTGAGTATGCTTGACCTATGGATGTGTCTCTGGCAGTCCAATTCACGAAGAATCTGGGCCTTCTTAAATTGATAAGTCCAGTGCGGATTAGGATTGAGAATTCTTTGGATTATGATACCATTTACAATTGACAAATTCCGTATGTTGGTTGGGATGAGCTTCTTGCTTTTGAGGGTGTTCAAAAGTATAATTTCATATTTCAAAGTCTTTTTAGTGTAATTTATTAAAATCCTTCTATACTCTAGCAAATTCAACTTATAGGGTATATTGTCCTTGGAGATATAGCTATGAAAATACCCATTAAGTTTGATAAATTGACGACCCCCTATAAATCATTTTGATAGATAATTGAACATTGTGGGTTTATTTTGCTTCTGTATAAGTTCATTATACATTTATCCAACATCTTATGTATCATGTTCCACTGAAATTTAATTTGTCATGGACTGTTCTCCCCCCTTTTAAATTGACATAATTGATTGGTCACTCTCTTTTAAGCGATCTCATTTTTTAGTAGTACTTACTCCAATCTTATATGGTTGTAAATATTCTTTCTGTTTTGATATATTGTTTTGCATAGCACAAGTCTATTTTCTACATGTTGTATTGCAAGGGACAAAATCAAATTATCTCTATACTTTTTTTTTTCTCTTTATTGACATGATGCGTGTCATGCATAACACGCATTTACTGTTGATTTTATAAAATGTCTACCTAAAAGTTTTCATGAAAAAGAAGTGAATTAACTATTAATTACCATTTACATTGAATGCCCCTTGTTGTGAATAAGTGAACTTTAAAAAATTAGGTATGTATAGATAGGTATACAGATATGTTGAATTACAACAGATTTTAGATTTCGAAATCTTAATTTCTACCACATAGTTGTTGCACAAGTTGAATGAAAGATATGCTCTTATTTTTCTTTTGAGTTCCCCTATGTACCTTAATGTAGCAAAGCCCAACCAGATCTTCTACAGATTACAGCAATGTACCTATGGGTTTATATAGATCTAACTTTGAACAAAATTTTTCACTATAACACGATTGGAGGCATGATTATTTTCAAAGTGTTTTGGACTATTCTTCTTTTTGCTTTGATGAGCAAAAGGATAATATATTGACAAAACCAATAAGCAATAATGTTAATTACATCTAATGAGCAAAAGTCATCTCTTCTCTACCATATGAATTATACACATTGCTGTTGACTTCTGCTTCAGTTTTTGATGATGAAGCCTAGTTGACTAGATTTTTTTTTTAAAAAAACATTTAATTTCCTGACCTAATGAAGGAATAAATGACGAGAGCAAAAATTCCCATTTCAATCGAACTGAGCGACACGCCATCGTTCCATTCCATGATTGGTTGACAAAATGTACAATCATTACTCTTTAGGGTTAATACTACGAAAAACCTCAACTGATACACATGTGACAATTTTACCCCAAATTATTTTTTTGATCACAAAAAATTCCAAACTAGTACACATATGACAAATTTACCCCAAACTAATATTTTGACTACTAAAAACCCAAAACTGGTACATTTGTGACAAATTTACCCTATGTTAGTTTCTGTTAAATTGAATTAATACCACAAAAAATCACAAACGAATATACCTGTGACAAATGAAGAGTAAAACATAAAACTGGTACATCAGTTAACTGTCACGTGTCACTTAACAAAGCAATTTGATAGTAAAATTTGACGGAAACAAACTAAGAGTAAATTTGTCACAAGTGTACCAGTTTGGAGGTTTTGCTGGTAAAAAAATTAGTTTTGGGTAAAATTGTTACAGGTGTACCGGTTTGAAGTTTTTCGTGGTATTAAGGGGGAGTTTGGAAAGTTGCCAAATAGTAAAAATTTATGTTCTTTTATTTTCAAAATCAGTTTGAGAACAGAAATCCGTTTGTTAAATTTTTTGTGCCAGGGCACAAATTTGCAAAAAATTGTTCCCAGAATCAGTTTTGGAACAAAATCAAGAAGCAAAAAAAAAGTAACTTCTTTATTCTGGAACAATTTTTACATTTATGATTCTTCTTGATTTTCTTCTTCCTTTTTGATTTGTTCTTCGTCTTCTTCCCGGTTTGCCACCAGCACGCCGCCGATTGGCCGCCGGCGACTGGCCACTAGCGACCGGCCAAGGCCAGCGAGGGCTGCCCTCGCCGTCGCCACCTCGGCGATGGCGAGGTCGAGCCTCGCCCAGCCAAGTTGAAGCCGACCTCGCCATTGTGACCGGCCAGGGCGGCGACGAGGGCCGCGACACCCTCGCCGGCCTTGGCCTGTGGCCGGTCGCCGACGACCGACCATGGCCAAGGAAAGGAAGGAAAAAAAATAAAAAAAAGGAAAAAAGAAAGAAAGAAATATTAAAAAATTCAAAAATATTATTAAAATATGATTAATAAAAAGAAATTTTGTGTAGTTACCAAACGCATTTCTGTTCTTTTTCTATTCTAAGAAGAAATTTGGGACAGTTACCAAACACCTTCAAATATTTAGAAATTGTTCCTGGGTACAGAATAAAAAATAATTATTTTTTAGCAGAATCAGTTCCCAGACACAGAATCGTTGCCATGTGCACCCTAACCCTACTCTTTATTCTTTTTTGGGAAAATATTACCAAAAATTCCAAACTATGTCACTTGTGACAAATTTACCCTGAACTTTTTTTTGTGACACGAAAAACCCCAAACTATGCCACTTGTAACACATTTACCCCATAATACTTTGGCCCAATGGCATTTTTGTCTTTTTCCTTTTTCTATTTTTTTTTTCTCTTCTTCTCTCTTCCCTCTGCCGGCCATGGCGGAGGGAAGCCACCCTCGCCGGCGCTGGGGTTGGGCGAGGGCTACCATCGCCGGATCTGGCAAGGGCGACCCTCGCCCGCCCAAGCGGGGGCGACCCTCACCGGATCTAGCGAGGGCGACCCTCGCCAGCCTAGGCGAGGGCGACCCTTGCCCGCCTAGGCGAGGGCAACCCTCGCCGGCGTCATGGGAGAGTTGCTCTCACTGAATCTGGCGAGGGTCGCCCTCGCCCAACCCAACGCCGGCAAGGACCGCCCTTGCCGGCTTCCCTCCGCCATGGTCGGCGGAGGGAAGAGAGAAGAAAGGAAAAAAAAGGAAAAAAATAGAAAAAGGAAAAGACGAAAATGCCCTTGGGCCAAAGTATTATGGGGTAAATGTGTCACAAGTGGCATAATTTGAGGTTTTTCGTGTCACAAAAAAAGTTTAGGGTAAATTTGTCACAAGTGGTATAGTTTGAGATTTTTCGTGTCACAAAAAAAAGTTCAGGGTAAATTTATCACAAGTAACATAGTTTGAGATTTTTAGTGGTATTTTCCCTGCTTCTTTTTCTTCTTCTTTTTGTTGTTGTCTTGCTTTGATTTGATTTGCCTTGGTGCGCGCAAAGAAGAGAAGGACCAACCACGATTCTCAGATAATGCCTTGGCGTGCGCGAAGAGGTGTTAAATCATTCACCAAATTGGCCTCTCCTTTTATAAATATACAAAGTTTATATTAAAAATGAATTTATGCATGGCACTATTCATTATCAACTTGGTCGATCCATGATGCGTCTCTCATCTTCATTTGGCCCCGTTCCTTCCCATCTTTACATACTTTCAGATAATGCATACCCTCTCTCTCTCTCTCCAGCACACCCACCGATACATAGAAAGTTCAATGATTGTAATGCTTTTCCATCTACTAAAAAATTGCAAAGGCCACCAATAGTTGGCATTGGCATGATCACATTAGGGGTGAGCATGGTTCAGATGGAAGGTTCCCATCCTAAAACTGGGAACCACCCACTAGGGACCAGTTCCAAAAAAATAAAACTAGAAACCGCCCGTTGATTCCATGGATCTACATGGGAATTGGACCGCCGGTCCGGTCCGGTTCCCAGGTAGGTCCATGGAACCGATCCCACCAGCCAAGGATGGAGACGGAGAGTCGGAGACGGTGAGGCGAGCATCGACTAAGAAGAGTGAGAGAGTGAGAGTGAGCGTGAGGTGAAAGAGAAAAAGGTTATTTCTCGGCTCAGTGTGAGACTATGAGCGTCAAGCGAGTTGGGTTTAGTTTAGAGATTTATAATTTTTTCTCTTTTTTAATTAAAAATTAAATAAATATATTATATTATATATTATTATTATATTACCGGTCCGGTTTGAGTGGGCGGTTCCATACCTGGAATCGAGAACTAGACCGGTATCCACCGATTCCGAAAAATTGGAACTGGGAACCGGATCACACTACAAAAAAACATGTAATTTGCGACGGAAATTTTCCGTTGGAAATTTGCGACGGATTATATTTTCCGTCGCAAATTTCCGTCGCAAATTTGAAACAGAATTTGCGACGGATGAAAAATCCGTCGGAAATTTGCGACGAAATTTTTATCCGTCGCAAATTTGCGACGGAATTTTTATCCGTCACAAATTTGCGACGGAAATAAAAAACTGTCGCTAATTCCATCGCAAATTTGCGACGGAAAAAAGTTCGTCGCAAATTTTCGACGGAAAAAAAACCGTCGCAAAAACCGTCTCAAATTTGCGACGGAAAGAAGTTCGTCGCAAATTTGCAACGGAAAATAAATCCGTCGCAAAAAGTTCGTCGCAAATTTCCGACGAAAAAAAAAACCGTCGCCAAATCCGTCGCAAATTTGCTACGAAAACGAACGTCCGTCGCAAATTTGTAGTTTATCAGCCCGTGATATTCTAACCCTATCTCTCTCTCTTGCTCTCTCTCGCTTTTCTCCCTCTTTCATATGTCTGAAATCAGCAAAATCCGCGCACGCACATATTAATCTCGGTGAAGCTTTTGTACCGGTAAGTATCATAGCTAGCTTCGTGACTATTCATCGTTGAATTGTAATTTCTTTTATTTTATATATGTTTATATTTGTTTTTTTTTCGTATCTGCATCACCGGTTTAACGACCGGCGACCGGCGACCGGCGACACCTTGCCGGCCTTTGGA